AAGCCAACTGTGAAATTGATTTGAATACTACTAGTATTTTCGTGTAAACTCACGCGTTGAAATATACACAAATAAAACGTGCGCTAACGTGATATCACAATTAATGAGGCTACATAGACATTAGTAAAAATGTAACAATGGGGCAGCGTGAAATTCAAAAACTGAGTATATTTTTGGTGCTTTTTAACATGTGAAAAGTAAACATAAAGAATGTTTTTAAGTATGTATGGACGATATATTATCAATTAACAATAGTTACAGACAAACACGTTGATGATACAAGGATATCAAAAGTCTAGCTTAAAGTCATCATTCCGCAAGTTCTATGGTAGATAAAATGACTTGTCAGCAATACAGTGTGTGTTTTCGTTTGTCCGATCATGACAAGGAGCACACAGGGGGTACAACCGGTCGGCAGGGGATGCTCACTCCTCCGTAGTACCTGATCCCATTTATGATGTTTTAGAGGTCCAATTTTGATCTCTTCCAAATTTGTATTGTTTCAGTGATTTTAGAAATTAATTTCTGTTCGTTATCTTTACATTTCATTCCTTGAGAATTGATATAATTACCCTTTTGAAGAAATTCAAACGTTTTGTGGATATGGGTAGATATAATAAAGCGCATTTTAGTTAACTTCTTCTTTTCTTCAAAAAATATTGTAACGTTTCACAAAGTGTACCTGTGAAATTCGGGTTAACTCTTGTTTACAAGTTTGGAATATATGGAACTTGAACCCGATGTTTATAAACTCCGTAAATAATTGTCAATGAACAGTTAACGAAAGAAATGAACTATAATTGATTTAATGACTTTATTAATTTAACATGTATGATTTAATGACAAAGTGGTGTATTTTGTATGTTTTATATGGGTACAACGTTATTAATTTAGTAGGTAATTTTGATGGTTAAATCCCGCTAACTTATTGATTGCATTGATTGTGACGTAATAAGTATCTGATTGTCTCTTACGTCATCATAACAACTTTTGTCTATATAAACCAGCTGTTTTGGGTTTAGACTTCAGTCGGCTGTGGGGAGCGACTCGGAGCACACAGCCTTCCCTGGTAAGGGGAAAGTGACCTAAGTCACTTTGGGGAACGACTCCGTATACTTCGGTTATAAGACGGTACCAAGTCTATGTATACGAAACCATGAAAGGGAACCAAGTTTTTAGGAACGTCCTGGATTGACCATCGGTTGGTCACCTTTTTGTTAACCAAATAACGTTGTACCAACCAAGTTACAGTGTATCATTCTGTGTGTTTATAAGTGAACCATTTGATCGTCCTAATAAATGTTATAAACTTTTAACAAGTGTTATTCCTAACAAACATTATTTAAAGTGACCAAAAATTGGTCATTACGTCAACTAAAGAAGTGACCAAAAGTGGTCATTACGTCAACCAAAGAAGTGACCAAAAGTTGGTCATTGACCATAACATAAACTGTGACCAACGTTACCATCAAATCTCGACCAGTGACCAGAAAACCAATAGCGGCCCACGAGTTTATTACACGATACCCTCGGTTACGTTACATTGGTGGCAGCGGTGGGATCCGCTATTCTGTGAATTGTGAACCTAAACCATTACAAAGATGTCTAGGAACGAAAAATCGGTTGAGGAAAGTGATTATAATACAGAACCAAAAGAACCACAGTTTATCGACGGTACTCCAAGTAAAGAAGTTCTTTTGCGGGTTAACAACAACGACCAGATAGGAGACGGCAGCGGAATCAACGCAGGTACCAACGACAGTCTACACATAATTCTACAAGAATTAAAAATGTTGAAGTCCCAGATGAACCAATTACAATCTCAAGTGAGACCAACGAGTGCTGACAACCAATATGTAGACCAAAATTGCGTGCAGTCCGGTACAAGTACTACGTCTGACGATGACCAAATACGCAGTGAACATCGACCATACAGAAATACAACTCTACAAAATTCATATGATGACTTTCGTGATTATGCACATTCAAGGACAAGTTTGTTAAACCCGACGTTACAACGAAGTTACACTACCAATGCTAGGACCAACGAATTTCAGCGGACCATGCGCAGCTTTGATTACGATGTACCAAATTATGGTCACACAAGACAAGTCCATGACCACGGATTCAGGCGTACCCCGGAACCTAAAGGGAGAAAACCAGCAACGTTCGATGGTACCATGAACTGGAACGACTATATAGTTCATTTCGACATGATCGCCCAATTGAACCACTGGAATGAAGAAACAAAGGCATTAGAGTTAGCTACCAGTCTACGCGGCCCGGCACTAAGCGTTTTGAGTGACCTACAACCAGAATATCGGTATAATTTTCGTCACCTTGTTACCGCACTAGCAGCAAGATTTGACCCAGAAAACCAAACAGAAATCTACAAGACGCAACTAAAGAGCAGAATACGGAAGAAAAACGAAACGATCACAGAATTAATGCAAGACATAAAGCGACTTACGAGGATGTCATACCCGAACGCACCCTTAAGTTTCCGCGACCAGATAACCAAAGATTCGTTCATCGGAAGTTTAAATGACCAAGAAATGGAATGGGCAGTATTTCAAGGAAAACCTACAGACCTAGAAGATGCAGTGCGACTGGCATTGGAATATGAGGCCTTTCAACAAGCACGGGAGAGACGAAATAAAGTTGCAGTGCGTATGCAGACAGAGGAGCCAGCGTTTACCGACAGAAATTATTACGAAACAGACCAAGTGGCTATGATCAGCCAAAACACAGATAAGAAGAAGAAAGGTCCCTGTTTCTACTGTAAGAAAGATGGTCACATCAAAAGAGAATGCAGGTTACTACAACGGCACTTAAAAAATGAAAAATACAGAAATCAAAGAAAACCGGAATACGCACCAGGCCTGACGACCAGAGAACCCGAGAACCAGGGAAACGCGCAGTAGTTGACGTCGGCGGCCTAACGTCAACTACAAAACAGAAAAGGCCACATGTTTTTGGAATAAAGAACTCAAATACTCGCAGTACCAACTTACTAACAATTGATGTGCTTGTTAACAATGTGAAAATAAATTGTGTCATTGACACGGGTTCAGTTATAACAGTTATCCACCCAAAGAAATATTACGAGATAGAAAGATGTGTAAGACCAAAATTATTTCCAAACCGTAGTAACTTACAGATGGCAAACGGTGATTTAATTGTACCAGAAGGTCAGACTGAACTTCAAATTGGTATTAATGGTGAAGTTACCGAACATAAAGTGGTCGTCGCTGACATTGAGTCACACATGATCTTAGGTCTTGATTTTCTTAAACAGCATAACTGTCAATTGAATTTGGGTGAAGGAACTCTTACATTTGGAAAGAATAAATTACCATGTGACATTAAAAGTGAACACAATCCTGTGTTCAAAATTTGCGTACAAGAAGCTTTACACAATAATAATGATGACCGACGACCATGTGAACCTTGTGACGAGGAGGACACAAACGACGCTGAGAAACATATCAGAGATTGTACCGTAGGTGAAGCAAAGAAGAATCCACCTAGGGCAGCCAGATCTAGAGGAAAACCGGGTCAATGTTTAGTTAGGGAACCACTGGAACAAGTGGATATTGATATCCTTGGTCATTTACCACGGACCAAGAAGGGTAACAAGGACGTTGTTACCAGTTCAGATTATTGCACCCGATGGATAGAAGCAACTGAGAACCAGAAACGAAAGTATGGCACCAAGTCAAACCAGATTCAGTACACCCCAGGGCAGTATGTGTCGATCGCATCAAAGGCAAGGACCAAAGGAAGATCTCATAAACTTAAGGTTCATTGGAATGGACCTTACACAGTGTTACGTGTTGTGTCCGATTCGGTATTCAAAGTGAGAAAGTCTGCAGCGGAGAAACCAAAATATGTGCATCATGACCAGATGAAGCTGTTTAGTGGTGAAGCAGATGACATTATATTCGAAAAACGCGTATCTCGAAAGACATTACCAGTGGACTTGTATAAGTCATTGATAAAATGCCCCGAAACGAGGACGTTTCGACTCAAGAAGGGGGTAATGTAACGTTTCACAAAGTGTACCTGTGAAATTCGGGTTAACTCTTGTTTACAAGTTTGGAATATATGGAACTTGAACCCGATGTTTATAAACTCCGTAAATAATTGTCAATGAACAGTTAACGAAAGAAATGAACTATAATTGATTTAATGACTTTATTAATTTAACATGTATGATTTAATGACAAAGTGGTGTATTTTGTATGTTTTATATGGGTACAACGTTATTAATTTAGTAGGTAATTTTGATGGTTAAATCCCGCTAACTTATTGATTGCATTGATTGTGACGTAATAAGTATCTGATTGTCTCTTACGTCATCATAACAACTTTTGTCTATATAAACCAGCTGTTTTGGGTTTAGACTTCAGTCGGCTGTGGGGAGCGACTTGGAGCACACAGCCTTCCCTGGTAAGGGGAAAGTGACCTAAGTCACTTTGGGGAACGACTCCGTATACTTCGGTTATAAGACGGTACCAAGTCTATGTATACGAAACCATGAAAGGGAACCAAGTTTTTAGGAACGTCCTGGATTGACCATCGGTTGGTCACCTTTTTGTTAACCAAATAACGTTGTACCAACCAAGTTACAGTGTATCATTCTGTGTGTTTATAAGTGAACCATTTGATCGTCCTAATAAATGTTATAAACTTTTAACAAGTGTTATTCCTAACAAACATTATTTAAAGTGACCAAAAATTGGTCATTACATCAACCAAAGAAGTGACCAAAAGTTGGTCATTACGTTAACCTATCAAGTGACTAAAAGTTGGTCATTACGTCAACCAAATAAGTGACCAAAAGTTGGTCATTGACCATAACATAAACTGTGACCAACGTTACCATCAAATCTCGACCAGTGACCAGAAAACCAATAGCGGCCCACGAGTTTATTACACGATACCCTCGGTTACGTTACAATATCTTAAACATCATGCTTGAATCACATAGTCTTCTGATGAAAACTTTATTTCGTACAAACTACACAAGTCAAATACTTGTTGTTTTTGTATGGAGGACACTCCAGCGAACCACAGACAGCCAGAACGGGATGAACGAGTTTTCCATTATTATTGACGTGTCCATTTACGATAGTTTCGGGAATCTCGTCCAGACAAATGTACTGTGATGCTGCTGCTTGGTCAAATGACCCCGCTGCAAGGTAACCTTTGTACTGCGTTCTCCAACCCGGGACACAAACGTTTGTTCCAGGGATCATAAGAACACTGGATGTCGACTTACTACGACATACTGCACAGGGCATATCGTCTCCATTGTCAGGTCCAAAGGCGTTCGAATCGTATTCGGCACCGTACATTGTTGCATTGTGAACACTATCGTGCAGAGTAACGAGGACTGGTGAAGGCGACAAACAGACATATTCGGCTGCACCTCCAGTGTGTCCAAAATACGAACCACCAGCAAATCCTTAAGTTAATTAAGCAAAACATAAAATGCATTTAAAGTTTGAGGAAAGGCACTGTTCGCAATGAAAATTGTAAAGGAATATTTTCTTAGCAGCTGGAGGGAAATTCGATGAAATTCTTTAATGTAAATCAAATACTATTGGGAAAAAAACATCCCATATTTTCTTTGACGTTTTGAATAACCTTTGACAATATTAATGACTTTTCATTCCTGGTTTGATTTACGATTTTCACTTTTATTTGAATTTTAAGACGACACAAACTTTCTGCTTGAACTTCTTTCTTACCTGAGTAGACTAGTTCTGTGTCGTTGTCAGGACAACCATGTTTTCCCCATCGAACATATGTTGCACCTTCTGTTTTAATATTATACACAATAGAAAAATGATGAGGAAATCACATTATAATGTTTTCTACGAACGGAATGTTATTAGGAACATAATTTTATCATGATATACCTTTTTGAGTGGCTGATTGTTTAACCGTTAATTCGGATATTTTTCCCTCTTGAGCAAGCAGTTTCGTCTGTTGCAGTTTGATGGTTGCTTCCTGTGTCTGGAGTTTGGTTTCTTGTGCATTGAATTTCGATGTCAGTTCTTGAAGTTGACGTTGCAGTTCAGTAAGCTGGGAATGAATCACATTTGGGTCATTCAAAAGTAGTCGTTTTTCTAAATTTTGACAATATACATGTCCCAGCAATCCAGAAAGATAAAACAATCTAACAATAGCAATCATTGTGGACCAATGATATCAAAGAAGTTAGCCGTCCTGGAGTACACCTTCTTATCATAACAACAACCCTATCGGACATTCGGACATAATCTATTTGAATGGCCTTCGAATAATTTGCAACGCTATACTTAATGTACTTGCGAAACCCATACCTTGAAAAGGATTCTATTGTTGTTTTACCTAGTGGAATTATTTTTCCAGTCAGTTTAAATAATATTACAGTTTCAACGAGGCATGCCAAAAAATCTAAATGTATCGATCCTTACACGTTGTCTTAAAAAAATCTAGAAAGTTATACGTAAAACTCGAAATGTGTCGTAAGTAGATGAAAAATTTACTAAATGTCAATAATTTAAATAATAAAATGCTTTCTTTCGGTGTTAGTAAGGGAATTAATGTCGCAGCTGTTGCAGAAAAAACCCTCGTAAGCTGGTTATGTTTTTTTTTTCTGCAATTGCTGCGAAGTTAATTTCCGTACTAATAAACAAAGAAAGCATTTTATTGTTTATTGTATATATTTACATCTGTATTAAAAACATTCAAAGTGAAATTAAATTTGCTTTAATATTGTATTTAGAATGAATATGTCATTGTATGTGTAACTGATAGAACAGCCATCGTTCAAGAAATCTACGCTCGTGGCTGGCTTATTGTTGTTCATGCACTGATTAATGGCATTTGTCTTCATAAGAAATAAAGGAAAAAATATTCAATGGATGTAAATATAACACATTATAAAAATCTAGCAAGAGTATTTTGATTCTTGGTGATATTTTCATCAGCGGTTTTAGGCATAAGATCTTTCCTTTTCATAAATAAAAATCAATCTCAAGGAAAGGATATTTCTACACGGAAGACAATTAAATTATATCAAAATATCTTATCAACTGTTTATTTTTTATTTTATTATTATTATTTATTTATTATTATTATTTTTTTTAATCTTAAAGGTGTTCTTACGGCACTTTTTTAATATTGTTCTCATCTTTATTTTTAGAGTTTTATTCCCAGACTACGACGACCTGTCGATAGAGGCACGATTCTGACACTTGTTAGAACATGTTATCAAGGCTCGTCGTAAAAACTTATCCTATTTAAGTCTGAAGAAGTTTTCTCAAAATTATATGTCGAACAAAGAGGCATATTCCCATTGGCAAATGACATTGGCATTTATTATTTTTATGGGAAACTGTCAACTGTTGTAGATGTGGGTAGGTTTTCGGTAGTATCGTTGGCATCTCTGCTGTTCTGAACATTAAACACTTAAAGATTGAATACATGTATTACTGCAGCACCATCTTACTCGAGTAATATTTAGGAAGCAAGAAAAGTAGTAGCATTATTCTGCATTAATTTTAATTGCTCATTGTGAAGCAATCACACAGATTTATTTTCGGAGAAATGCCTTGTCATTCTCGAGAAATATAAACTAACAACGAATACGAAAAACCAAGGGAATAGATTTGACATTTCTTCAGAAGAAAAAGAGAATTGATGCCCGAATCTTGGAATAGCACTGCATTTCAGATCGAGGTGGAGAAATTAGTTTGCACTCAATAGTTGGGATAGGAGAACTAAGTTTGTAAGCAATCTATGATGATGCATGATGAATAAACAGAAAAAAAAATTTAAAAAAAATAATAACCAAGCTGAATATCTGCATTTTGTCAGACAAAATAAATGGCTATATCAGAAGTTATTAACAAGTGTATCAAATTCGACATCTGAGATTACACAGCCAAGTATTTGCTTCCTATTTGAACAAGATTTAAAAGATCATAATTCTTGCGGTTCTGCAAGTAAAGAAATGTACCAGAGTTTGGGACTTAATTTTCGCAGATTAATACAAACTTTCCTTTTCATCAAAGATTTTGCGAAATTTGTCACGCCATAAAAACTACTGTAAGACCCACATCAAACGGTCGGACGAGGAAGATGAATTATTGTTAATGTAACGTCAAAGTGTACTGGAAATGACTAAACTATTATCAGCATGTATTACGGCACGGGATCGGAATTGGTTTAACAGATTAACATGTCGGAAAACCGAGTCGCTGCTCAGATTACAGCACTCATGCTGAAAATCAAAGACGGCAAAGACAGCGAGGCATTTTGTTTTGTGATTATACCATCAATTAAAGAAACCTTCATGTTCTAAACAATTGCTCAAAGTCATAGAACTGTTGCCTTTTTAATGTACCATAAAAATGTATTACAGAGAACATCCATTTGGAAAAAGCGACTGTATCCCTGTGATCTATTGTAATTAGTTATTACCATGATACTTAGGAAACTTTACTCCAGACAGACCATTGATTCCAGTACAAAAAGGTCAAAAAACGACAGACTGTGGAAATGGCCGCTTAAAATACATGTGGAAATTATCTTATAAGTATGGATTTGTCATAATTTAAGAGAAAACTGTACATATTTTAATTATTTAGCGTGAAGCTATGTATAACTAGAGGTTACAGGTGAGAGAAACTCATAGCCAACATTCAAAAGTAAAGACAAAAACATCTGAAATGCCAAATCAGGTGCTGATATTTTTATTTTGGTATGAAATACGTCTAAGAATGAAAAAAAAATCTGAAGATAACGAAGATTAGTCCACCTAAAAAAGAAAGAAAACGTGAACGACGAATTTAATATGGACCCCCCCCCGGGGAATTCCAGAAGTGGGATCAGGTAACCAGGAGAAGTAAGCGCCCCCTGTCGACCGGTCACATTTATTGCAAGCCCTAAGAATTGATTAGGTACATTTAATATTCCATAGTCAAATTCAGAATAAAAACAACGGCTTAACAATTGGTATGTACGACTTACGACTTTTCAACTTTAAACACAACCATTACCCCACGATAAATTAGTCTAGGCTGTTTGATATCATTGACAGCTGCTTTTTCAATAAAAATAGAATTTGTAAATTTACTTACGTATACCTTGTCATCGGTCATTTGCAAAAGTATAATGTTAAAAAATCATTTTGATTGTACACACGTGTACTCTGAAGTTGACAACAAAAAGATGCCTGTCAGAGTTTCTGATTGACAATATCTATGGGGTTTTTGGAGACCAGGTCTTCCAACAATCTTTTGGAATTCCCTTGGGTACCAATTGCGCCCTGCTATTAGCAGACCTATTTTTGTATTCATATGAAGTAGAATTTGTCCAAAAATCTTATGCGTGAAAAGAATGTTGTGGCCTTCAACTCCATATTTAGATATATCGACGACGTATTGTCAATTAACAATGGTGATTTCCATTCTTATGTCGATACGATAAATTTTTGTGAGCTTTAGATAAAAGATATCACAGAGTCTGACACATCTGTTTCATATCTGGATATTTTACTTGAAAAAAAGACGTTAATGGTAATCTAACAACCAAGCTCTATGATAAACATGATGACTTTAACTTTTTCTATCATCAACTTCTCTCACTTATGCAGCAAAATACCTGTAAACCAACTTTTATTCACGACAACTTTATTTCGCGATTTACCAGGGGTAAACTAGTTGGTGACGATTAATTTTCGCGATCAGGCCTTTTTCGATCTGTTGTTAGTAGACAGAGATAATTTAAGTGCAGGTTCGCGGCGAGAAATATTCGCGATGACGAGACTTTGTTCGCGAAAATTTATCGCACGCGAATAAAAGTTGGTTTACAGTACCTTCATCACTTGCATACGGAGTTTATATATCTCATTTGATTCGATACGCAAGAGCATGCTCTACGTATGAACAATTTCTAAGACGGGGTGAATTATTGACAAACAAATTGATGAAACAAGAATTCAGCAGTCTCGTTCAAACTCATTAGTTCGTAAGTTCTATGGCCGATACAATGACCTTGTCAGCAAATACAATTTATGATTGAGTCAAATGCTTATTGACGTTTTCCATACGAATTGTTAGTCCATTATTCATACACTGAATTGACGACGGATTTTTCCGTTATTTCCCGATAATGATGAGGAGCACCGGTCGGCAGGGGATGCTCACTCCTCCATGGTACCTGATCCCATCTCCGATATTTTGGAGGTCTGTATTTGCTCTGCTCCTATTTTGTATTGTTTTATGGACTTTTGATCTTGAATATTGTTCGTTATCTCCGTATGTTTCATGTAAAACGTCAACCAAAATACGACCTAATGATACGCTTTATCTGCTAACAAGGTCATTATAACAACCATAGAATTTACTGACTTTAAACGAGGTTGTTGAAATCCCTATGACATCAACTTATGCAACAGAAGCTTGCCTCTGATAAAACTGATCGTACACGGAGCATGCTCTTGAATATCGAGTAGGATAGAAGTCGTATCATCAATGAACAATGGTAACTTCCATTCATACGTCGACTCGATATATCCCAGTGAACTTCAAATAAAAAAATATACTGCAGAGTCTATGACACCTGTTTCATATTTACTTATTTTACTAGAACAGGACATCAATGTTATCCTGACAACCAAAATATTCTATGGAAAAAATGCAATTACTTTAACTTCTCGTGCCAACTTCCCTTAAGGTATATTGCTTATCGCCATATCTCCAAGTTGAATCAATACATGAGAGCATGATTGATCTACGTACGAACTATTTCTAAATCTACCGAGGCAATGCAAGCTAATGACAAACAAGTTCATAAAACAGGATATCAACAGTATCGTTTAAAGTCATCATTTCCAAGTTGCATGGGCGGTTCAAATAATAATTTTATCATTATGTCGTATGCTGTCAGACGTTTTATGCTAACTGTTATGCCACTATTTACACCCTGATTTTTTAAAGACATATGTTTGCCAAATCATGACAAGGAGCACGTATTTGACATGTTGAGAGTCTCTCTTTTCTATGATATGGTTCGTTTTTAAACTTTTCAGGCATTTGTTTTTATATGACAAGTGTGTTTGTAAATTTTACAAATATTCATATCTATGTCACATCTGGAGTCGTTTTATTGTAAAATGACATTCATCTTTATGGCATGTCGAATGTTGTTTGAAAACTTGACATACATTTGCCTCTATGACATGTTTGAAGTCGTTTGTAAAACTCGGAAAAATGAAAAAGATGAAGAAAACAAATAGTAATCAATATAAAAAATCGAACAACAAAACAAATCTGTGAAGAGGGCACAAAACACGGATCCCTGGACAATCCAGATGTAGGATCAGGTGCCTAGGAGGAGTAAGCTTCCCCTGTTGACCGGTCACATACGCTGTGAGCCCTTTATGTATTGGTCAGGTAGACGGGTCATTCGTAGTCTAATTCAGTTTAAAAACAAAGTCCAAACAATTGATTTGCATTACCGGTAAGTCAGCCAAAATATACGACCCAATGGTGGGTTGGTTTTGCTAACAAAGTCATAATAACGACCATAGATATTACCAAATTTCGACCTTAAACGAGGTTGTTGAAAGCCACGTAACATCAACTTATGTGTCAGTGGGCTGTCTCGGTTTAAAAATTGATCGCATTCAGAACATACTCTTTCTTAATGAATTAGTTAGGGACATAAATACTATAAGCAGGTGATAACGGTATATTATAAAATATTTAGTTGTCGGTCGAAAAGAGTTGAATTCATCTCCTTTGTCAGACAACTTAGTAGTTAGTTGGTCCTCATCGTCCATACTCAGTAAAATATCCTAATGTGAAAAAGATGTTGCAGACTCTGTTGTGTTTTTTTTAATTTAAGTTAACTGGAATGCTTCGAATCGACATCTGAATGTAAAAATGTCGAAGTGAAGGCCACAGCAAGTGTTTTCTTCTCGAGTAGAAGTGTTTGAATAAATTCTGCTTCAAAGGACTAATAAAACGTGTCGGCTATAAAGGATCACAATTAGTGCCCATCGGATATTCGTCTTTGTGATATGTCGGGGATCATTTTTACCGTCACTGATATAAATTTTGACACTCAGAAACTGAAGCCTTTCTTTAAATGAAAAAGAATCGCTTGTCATTCTAAAAATCAAACTATACTCTGTTTAGATATTGATGAAATGCGTGGGGAGATAGCTGTGGGAGTATAAATGATTGTGTTCTATTGATCTGTGGAACTAACATACTGATCCATATCTTGCATCATTCAGGAATATGTTTTGTTTTGCAAAAAAAAAATAAATAAATAAATTACGATGGCTAATAGGCCATGATATTATAGCGGTAGGTATATTATTTATAATGATACTACAGTATTTAAATAAATGACCACTTTTTCTGCATATTAAATTATAAAGATCGATCTTTAAATGTTCAAGGAGATTGTAACATATATGTATGCCATTAAAAAATATAATTTTGATTTGATTCAATTAAAATGGGAAGAACAATTCAACAAATGCTTGGAACATTCTCTTATCTTGCTGTCACAGAAGTGTGTAGTTACATGTAAAGAGCATTCCCAGACCTAACAAGTAATTAACACTATCCTGTTGATTACATATCGTTAATTAGGACAGCATGCATGGAAATACCATTTTGTGCCATCAAGAATAAAATGTAAAAATTATAAACATTTATTTACACCATAAAATTAAATATCCAATATTAAGAAATAATTCTAAAAATTTAATTAGGTACTAAAATTTGATAGGCTGATTTTTTTTTTAGATCGAACGGAAAAATTTAATTTGGATCAGTACTCTGCTGCGAGAGATCACAGCGCAAGCCACAGAAAAACCCAATGGGGTGGGTAGAAGGGTGGTGGTGCTGTAATACCAAAGAGATAGTCATACTATTTTTCTGAGAATACTGAGAAAAAAAGAGAGGCAAAACATTGTTTAATTATTAAATTGAGAATAAATAATTGTTATTAGTATTTTTCACCGTTAAATTGATTTTCCGTTAAATTGATTTTATTTCTCTGTTTAGCGTTCTCTATCTGAAATTCTAATGAATAATGTTAACATTTTCACTGTGTACACATATAAATCAACTGAATTAATAAAGAAAGCAAACATTTGAATCATTGAAGACCAATCATGAGTAAAATGGAAAATATATTTCTCTGGAAACGAGTCCCCAAGGATACAATGTCGGTCGACTAGATGGTACCGTGAGTCGAGGGAGACAAGTAGCTTGATTTATATTTAGGAAGTTTGGCATAAACTGACTTCTGAAAGACGCTAGAACATGAAAAAAAAATGCTGCATTTCATGAATAATGGTACAAAAAGGAATACACATGATCTCTCTCTCTCTCTCTCTCTCTCTCTCTCATAAACAGCAAATAAATAAAATTTACATAATTCTACATTAAAATAGGTATATATATCTCCTGATGGTATTAAAATTGTTTTTAAAAAAATTATGTGTGTGCTTTTTATAAATCGACCCAAGATAGGCCCCGCAAAGGGGAATAACTTTTGTAAATGTGAAAGTCGTCTATAAGGGCATGACGTTGCATATATAGTTTGTTAGAAGTGCAAGGGGTGGGGGTGGCCAAAAAAAAAAGACACGAATAACCTGGAAATCATTGACACAACAAAAAAAAATTATGCTAGGCGATGGGGATTTAAGATGTGATGTTCTCAATCTTCAATGTTACGTTTTTTTTTGTTTTTGGTTATTCAAACAAGTTTTTGATGATATTTTAGGGACATATTGTGCACATTTATTAACATACCTTGCCTGAAAATTGCTATCTCGAAATGATTCCATCATTTATCGGTTTTATTTTATTGGCAACATTTTTAAATATAATATTTACTTTAAACAAAGAAAGAAAAGAAAGGAAAAAAACTTTCAATATAACTAACCAAATAAAAGTAAATAAAAATAAATAATATGCAATGAATTTTTTGTTAAATTGATATACACTTTGAAGATTGGGTTGATTAGTATGTCATGTAAGTATACACGAACATAGGGCCTATGGACTTTCGTATTTCCCAGAATCATTCGAAAATTGGCTTGAAAAAATCATTGGATGAGTATGGGAAAGGAAAGACAAATCTGTTTCTTTTTTTTTTTTAATTATTATTTATTTTTATTGATTTATTTCTATTTGTGTCATTCAAAAAATAGCACATTTATCTTTTTTTAAAGAGTGGATTAAAAAAAATTGTTGAATTATTATAAATCGAACTCATACACGTATGAATAAATCCGAATAATTCTATGGTTTGGTTATCAATTACCGAAACCACCGGAAACGTACGAATAGCGTTGGGCGCCATTGTGTGTACCAAAACAAAACGGTGTTTACAATCGAAGGCCATCTATAATTTATTGTAGCATTTATTTATCCAATCATAAGTTTGACGAAAGGTTGATATATTGCAATGTCCATTGGTGTACCCATTAAAGTTCTGCATGAGGCAGAAGGACACATTGTGACATGTGAAACAACAACCGGTGAAGTTTATCGAGGGAAACTTGTCGAAGCCGAGGATAATATGAACTGTCAAATGTCTGCAATCACAGTGACATACAGAGATGGAAGAGTAGCACAGCTGGAAAATGTGTATCTCAGAGGTAGCAAGATAAGATTTCTAATATTACCAGATATGTTAAAGAATGCTCCAATGTTCAAAAGAGTACAAGGAAAAGGAGGTTCAGCAAACAGGGGGAAGTCTGCAATTCTACGAACGCAAGGTATGAATATCATGTTGACCTTCTTGCAAGTTATTACAGAAATATCAAGCTGTGCAATACCACCCACCTGATTGTCATTGACACTGCTTTTCAGTCTCGCCTCTCTTTCATCCAGTAGAGTGCTTTAGCAAGTGCTGATTTTTTAATTGTGTTAGAATGGAGGATACTTTAGAGAATAACATTGTTGTTACACATCTCTCAAGTTCTACTGTAATTATAATTTTGCTTGTTGTATTATTTTGTATTCATTATTGCTTGTTCTGTTGTAGCTGCCCGAGGGAGAGGCCGGGGAGGACCAGGGGGGCCGAGAGGAGGCGGTGGGAACATGTATCAGAACCGGCGTCGTTAATCACAGACATAGACTTCATCTCGTCATCTCAGATCTCCATCAAATGTGGATCAGTAATTACAACCAACACAGGGGTTGTATTGGGAGAAGAGTGCAATACACACGTATTGCACATTCAGTGTTCGTTTTATTATTTTTTTTTTTCATTGAAGACATCCATGAGTGAGAAAAATCATTTCATTTCCAGTGGAAGGAGTTAGTGTTGTACATGTATCATGTTTTTATTGTCATCTTTGTAGATTAATAATTGAATATGTACATAAAGATGATATTGATTTTTTAATAAATATGCAAAAAATGTCATCATTTTGTGCTATTTGAATGGTTATTGGATAATACTGTAGCTTAGATACTGAAAACTCTCTATTGATACACTTGGTATCTTGTTAAAATGAGGAGACCCAAGTGCTATGAATGATTTTTTAAAAGAGGTTAGGCTGACAAATTATGGTCTGAACTGTTGTTGAAAGTAGTATAGCTGCAGAACTGTAATGTTTGGTTTTAGATATTCGTCTTTGACCATAATGCTACAGATCCCATAATCATGATAATACAAAACAAGAGGCCCAGGGGCCACAGCGCTCACCTGAGCACATCGGGCTTGGAATTTATTCCCCTCCTCCAGGCGTTCATCATTTGAACAAACTAGAATCTACACTACCTGAGGATGATTCCATATAAATATCACTAATCATAGCTTTGAAGTACTTGAAAAGAAGATTTTAAAAGGTTTCCCTATATATCCCTATGTAAAACTTGGGTCGGCCATTTTGGCCTCACCCTAGCCCCAGGGGTCATGATTTGAACAAATTTGAATCTACACTACCTGATGATGATTCCACATGAGTTTCATCTTTCCTGGCCCAGTGGTTCTGGAGAAGAAGACTTTTAAAGATTTTTCCAATATATTCCTATGTAAAACTTGGGTCGGCCATTAAGGCCCCACCCTTGCCCCGGGGGTCATGATTTGAACAAACTTGAATCTACACTACCTGAAGATGATTCAGTATGAGTTTCATCTTTCCTGGCCTAGTGGTTCTTGAGAAGAAGATTTTTAAAGATTTTTCCAATATATTCCTATGTAAAATTTGGGTAGGCCATTTTGGCCCCACCCTTGCCCCGGGGATCATGATTTGAACAAACTTGAATCTACACTACCTGAGGATGCTTTCACATGAGTTTCATCTTTCCTGGCCCAGCGGTTCTGAAGAAGAAGATTTTTTAAAATTGCCATTAATATTTTAACAAATTCATGATTATCTCCCCTTGGAAAAGGGCATGGCCCTTCATTTGAACAAACTTGAATCCCCTTCACCCAAGGATACTTTGTACCAAGTTTGGTTGAAATTGGCCCAGTGGTTCTTGAGAAGAAGATGAAAATGTGAAAAGTTTACGACGACAACGACGACAACGACAACGACTTCGACAACGACATCGACAGACAACGGACAAATTTTGATCAGAAAAGCTCAATTGAGCCTTCGGCTCAGGTGAGCTAAAAAGGTACAGGATTTTTTGCACACTGTTTGGGAGAATTTCTCCACTTTTCAGCATTGGTCAGTCAACTACCTTTCAATCCTTAATTCTAAACACATTTTTTTTTACAAGTCTGTGTATTTTATCCACCATTCAATCCTTAATGAATAAGTCGTCTCTGCATTTGATAAACTAGCTTGATTTGAATTGTCTGTTGGATTGCAGAAATTTTACAAGTCAGTGTATGGGTTTGTAGAGACAACTGAAAAGGGTGGTGAATAAAATGTACAGATTAATTACAAAATATATCTAGAATAGAGAATCTGAATGAAAGGAAGTTGATTGACTAATGCTGAAAAGTGGAGAAATTCTCTCTAAGTGTGCAATATATCTTGCGCCGAATGACACTGTTTTGTATTACAGGATCTGTAGCATTGTCAAAAACTAATTAGATAAAACCATAACACTACAATTCTGCAGCTAACAGTACAGTGCAGTTACCAAAGTTATTGGTATAGGATACTATAATTCAGATTTTAGTGCTTCTAGTACAGTCTCTCAGAACTAGGACGTTGCACATGCTTGAAAAATGTGCCTCTAGTAGTCTCTATGATGCTGCTCTCGAATGAAAAATAATTTTACAAAAAATATCAATCTTTGGGATCAGGAATACAAAGTAAGAAAGTTGAGCTCCATAGAAAGGAGAATGGGCATTATCATTGAGGAGACAAAACCTAAATTAGCTTCCTTCTTAAATAAACAGATACATGAATATTGGCAAAATTACTGGGTTGCAGCTCATATTGCTTTAAATAAACAGATACATATATATATTGGCAAAATTATTGGGGAAGAGGAGGCAAGCCCCCCCCCCCCTCTCCCTTTTAAGATTCAATGGGCCTGTATAGTACTATGTAAAAAAGATAGAATATTATTAGATAACATAATATTTCAGGATTCAAATCTCCTTGTCCTTGTCAATTTAGGGTTTAAACAATCTTATTTTCTACAAAAAAAGAATCTCCCATACATAACCTTGATCATCCTAATAATGTTAGTGATTTATGATCTGGGGACTCCACAAAAGTTCTGAAGCCACAAAACCTTGGCTTATGATGATGGACCTTGATTTGGAAAATTCTATATTGCTTCAAGTAGGGGAGATAATGCAGATATAGTGATGTAAACTGAGAAGTGCTATTACCACTTGCACTGGTTCAATCTGCAGCAACATTCTCTTGGACACATCAAGACTAAAACAATGTCATCTTCATTCATTTATTTCTCCATGAGCTAGTAGAATCTACTGAGTCATCTTATTTTCAAAATACACAACTAGGAACAGAAAATAAATTATGACTTTTATCATCATTAAATACAAATATAATATTGACTTTCTCACAAACAGTCTGAGAATAAATTTATACCTATGTACACGGACATAACCTGAAGCTGAGACATTGATGTGGTCATGTGACACAAGGTCATGTGACTCCTGGATCACATGATTGGTATAGATCAAGTTCACTTCCATACCTGGCTGGTAGAGATGAGACCTCCGTAGTAACTATAATCACAGACATATGGAAGTAAGCATGATCCGATCACATACAGCTAACTACAGAACCAGTACATTGTCATAGTAATACTGTAAACAACCTAGTTTCACTTTTACCAAAAATATTGCCTTTCACACAGAAAATGATCAAACAATGAGATGAAGGTATTCACATACATGTATATATATAGTAACATTTCATAGACTTTGGTAAAACATCTGTACAAAAAAATCTCCTCTGTACAAAACATGTCATGATATACACAAGGAAAAAACAACAGATACCCTATGCTAAAATCACATGAAGATATTTTTTTCTCATATTGAATGAATGATAAATAGACATCTTTGATGTCAGTTCACTCTAGAAAAAGCACTTTTCAAATTAATCCCCTCGATATTAATCGATAAAAGATCACAAAAAATTCATGTAAAATGAAAATCTGCAAATTGATCTAAGAATGGAAATTCCAACTTCAATTGAATTTGATTCTTATAATTTCAATGCTTCATTGTATTGCACAACATGCATATATATGAGATACAAGAATGCAGTGAAAGACATTGTTTCTTGAGATGTTTGTTACAACTGATACAAAATATTCCATGCCTTTTTTCTTTGCATGCATTTGTTACATTATGGGATTCTACCATAAAATTGTAAATATCATAAAAGACGCAGAACAATGTACCTTTGAAGCATCTCCAAAAAATTTATTCCGAGATCATCCATTACTTCATGCATGAAAAAAATTGAGATTAAAAAAGATTACAAAATTAATTCTATAAACAGCGCTAGCAAATCATGTCTTCACAAGACGCTCTCTCCCTCTTTATGTCCGTATATATTACACAACTATTTACTTAACATTTGAATAGTTCTTTTCACAAGGCAGACTTCTTACAGTTGTAAATGCATTGCTCAAGAAATCTGTCATATACATTAAATAAGAAATCACAGTTTATGAGTTATATTGAAAATAAATTACTAACAAAGAGCTATTCCAGAAAAAAAAAATAAACATGTACGTACACAAAAAATGCCAATATTTTTCCCCAATATTTACTTCCATTTTCTTTTAACAAAAATTTAAAATGTGCAGTTAAGTAGATCTTAAAATATGCAAAGGAAATCATTAGTAATATCTTCTGTAACCATATGTAAATTCATCTGATACTATAATAGGAAATACATGCATTTCCTACTGAGAGGTAAATAATTGGCTTAGCTTTGATATTAGGAACTTTCATTCAAGGATGGCAAATACAGCACAAATATCCTCAATCCTCATTACTTTTATAATGCCTCATAATTTTCAGTTTTAGAGTGATGCATTGTCCAAGGATAAAATAGGTACAACAAATCAAGCTTTTAAATTCAAGTGTTCTATTAATTTCATAGTGTTTTTTTTTTTTTTAACAAATAGATTAAAATCTTGACCCCCCCCCCCCCAACAGTAATGCCCACCCTATGCAGGGTAGAGTAAGTAATGTTTGCTTACCTACCCCAAAAGCCATCCTCCAAATAAAAAAATATTTGGAATTTCCTCCTACTAGTTACCTTTTTTTTCTGGAACGTCCTTCTATAAAAATAGGCTCATTTTTTCAGCATTTTTTTCTGCTCGAGCTCTCAAGTAAATGTTTTCAGTATAAACTAAATTCCATAGAATTACACACATTATTAATGATCTGAGTATTTGCAATACCATTTGGAACATTTTTTTTAAAAACCTCAATAAGTAGTTCAGTATTTTTTGTTCAAATCAATGATAAACTTCCTCCTTTGGCAGGGCTTTGTGATTTTTGCACTAATTTGGCAAGATTAACTTTGGCACTTTACTTCCATGTCATGCATCAATGCTGTATGTTAACAGAGTTTGTTTGTTTCTTGGGTTCTTTTAAAAATCATTTATTTCATTAAATGCACAATTAAGAAAAAAATTTCAAAACAATTTCACCAACACTTTAAAAATACTTTTTTTTTAATATATAAAAACTAAGATATTTTTGTTAATTTTCTCAAGCATGGACTTGCTATCTTCTAGAAATTCATTTTTTACATAAATAAATTACAACCAAATATGATAATTTTGCCTCAATCCATTACATAACGTCTAAAACATCATGAAATATTGCCTAGGTTTTGTTTCCAAGTTATTTTCACAAATGTTTTTGGATTTGTTGTTTTGAGTCTTGACAATAATAACAATTTGCTCAAATTTTGATCATAGAAAATAATAAATTACATGTGAATTATACACAACATAAAAAAAATCATTGCGTAAACAAATTCTGTTCCAAAATATCACATATGCATCCAATGCATCAACGGTTTTTCCTAAAATAACCATTGTTTCCTTCAAAATATCACATCATACAAATGCATTTAATGCATGATACATCTGCATAAGCACCAAAAAATGGATTGGCAAACATGACTGGCGATCGTTCTGTACAGGGTCAAAGGTCAACCAGGACAGAGCATTGTACGTCTCCAGAACATATCTAAAACAAATAAACTTGTATGAAAATTCCAATAGAAATTAACAATACATGTTCTACATGCATGTACTAAATTTCATGGCTTCCACTTAATCGGATAGTGGTTTAACAAATATTTTGGCTATTCCAATAAAATATCAGAGCACAAAACCATTTCTTATATATTTATTAAGAAGAAAATATTAGAATTTCGTTTTATCTGATACAAAAATTTGCTCTATCATAGTATTTTTGGATAATCATGACCTTGTTTACACCTCTAACTTCCCTAGTGAAGCCTTTGTTTACACTGTGAGACACCTTGAGTACGATAATGAGGGGATTAGTTACGGCTGAACGCATGCAGTCACCTTACCCGTGTTAATAATACTTTATATTTCCATTTTGAACTTATAATGATCAGCTTTGGGTCTTAAATTACTTTTCAGTGATGTACTCGATAATTTTAAATGTTTGGTGCATTTTTTTCCAAAGAAAGATTTTAATTATTGACTTATGAAAGAGAGTGTAAACAATTTATCGTCCATTGATAAAAAAAATACGACATTTCCAGGTATGTGTATTGTCTTTAAATGTACAAACGATAAATAGAACATACGAGATGTAAATTAATTTCTTTGTCATCTCACTCTTGATTTAAATAAAATCAAAAAAACAAAATAATTTCATATGCATTTAGTTAGCATTTGTTCATCGACATTCAACATGTTGTTTACATGTTTATGTTACATTTGTCCCAGAAATCCCGCGAGATTTGTACATTCTCCGACTTTTTCACAAAAGAGCGCACTAAGAACTATAACTCTTCACTGGTGGAAATAGAACGTATTGGCACACTAGATTGTTAGTTTTGATACAGTTAAAATGATCAGCTTGGGCTAAAAATTAATTTTCAGTGATGTACTCGATAATCATAAATGTTTGCAATTTTTTCCAAAGTTAGATTTTAATTATTGAACGTATAAGCTTGTGTATGACAATAAGCTGGGACATTGAAATGCATCATAGCTACAGGACTATTGACTTGAGAATTGTCACAAACAGTATGAAATACAAAACCATATCAAAGAAACAAATAAAAAAAAACAATTAAATATTTTTGCTTAAGGATAGATGATACAAACAAAAAATGGATGCCTGGATTGGTATATATTTTGTGGCCTAATGTAATTGCAAATGACGCAAAAAATAAATATCTAGAATATAAAGAAGTTGTAAACCTTTTGTGATGTTCAAAAGTCTACCCTTCGGAAACCATCCTTTTTAATCTATACAAATATTTTTGATTTCAAATTCAAGTTTTGTGCAAATTTGAATTAAAAAAATAAAAACTACGCGGTGAAAGTTTTTCATTTTGCTCATTTTAACATGCCCTAAGTTGTTATTTTCAAATTCTTTGAAAAAAGTTTGTTTGTATCATCTGTCCTTATTATTACTGGACCATTTATCCGGCGAAAAATAAATTACGGAATAAAGTCAGGCATTTACTAGTCTAATTCCGCTTCCAAAATGGCAGCCATCGACGAAGGAATGTAAACATGTGCTTATTAAAGATGACAATAACTATTAAAAAACAATTTTCATCAGTCATTTTATTTGAAAAATGCTACCACATTTAATTAATAAGTAAGTGAACATTTAATTTTAGGAAAATTGCCAGGTAAAGTAATCAAACGAAAGCAAAGTGCAAGTTTGAAATTTTCAACGATGTATTGTCAATACATTTAGCTCTATACATCTTTGTTTGGACTTGAAATGGAGCAATCGGCTATTCGATTATTCGGCTAATTGGATAAAGCTTGTCTGGCAGGTTGACTATCCGTTTAAACAGAACCCACTGTATTATTTTCTTCAATTTGATACAAAATGTTTGTATTGCAATCAAAACAATTTCTGCACTTTTTCATAAAACGTAGATTTAATTCATGTGTTATATCACCATGGCTTCCCTTCTGAGGCCTCGGACAGTAAACTAATAGACAGGGTCACGTGATCCCATCTAAAAAGGTACTTCTGAGTAATAAAATATTTTAAAGAGTTCCTTGATTATGCTGAAATTTCAAAAATTTTCAGCAACTTATTTATTTCAAATAAATGACTTCGGTACGATGTTATGTTTGATTGCTTACATAATTTATATAATTCTAGAGCCGTGGTTCTATAGGAAAAACATACATATTTTTCAAAAATAATACAATGTATTTTATTGCAACTACCAATAAACCAGTACATTGAATTGTGAAAACAATTTATTTGTCTTTGTTCCGTCATGCATAAAGTCCGGCAAGGGTCTTGGAAATAATTGATTGATTACTCAAGGTGAAGCCCTAGTAATTAAGTGTTATAACTTTTTGAATTGAAAGACAGTAGAATTGTTTGATTAAAGTTTCAGTTAACGTTAGAAAGAATGTGTGTGTTTAGATTTTCTAATTATCACAACTCTTACTGTGTCGGCAAAATTTTTACTGTGACACATGCATGAAATTTGAATCATTACTGTGTCAGGAGCAACACAGTAAAACAGCTCATGGAGAACCCTGTATATGATAATTAATTGTATTTTATTCAGAATATACATTTGCTTTAGAAAATCATAAAAGTTAAAGAAAAATTTCATATGAGTGAGCAGATAGTTTAAGACCCTTAAATTTTACTCTGATTTGCATGAAAAGTTTTCATACATACCATTATCTCTTCCAATATTCCTCGGCAATTTAACCAACACCACTGAGCATTCTTTGAACTGCAGAAAAAAATCATTAAATTACATTACTTAAAAATGTCTGTTGCTTTCTGAAGAAAAAATCATAATTTTCTTTGGACTGGAACAAGGGTACAAAACTTTAACACTAATCTGAGTACTGTTAACATGGTAAAGCAACTTTTATTATCTTTATCTGCATGAGAAAAATATTCATAAGATTTGTGATGTACTTTAAGTCTCAAATAGCAATCGCTGCAGAATATTCATCTTACTTAGTTTTTGTACAACATTTATCCTTATTCATAAAAATTTAATCATAGTTAATGACTGATTTCAAACTGATTAATCTCAAATAAAAGATACGCAGAAAAAAAATGGTTTACTATGTGGTTTACAGTAACCTAGCTCATTTGCTCTAAAGCAATAGAATGAAACATGTATTATATATAGAGTATGAGTTTCTTATTGTGTGAGAGATATAGGACGAGAGTGATAGCTTGAGCCCCGCCTTGTCCTGTTTCTGTCAATCAATAAGAAACAAGTATTCTAAATGACTTGTGACATGAAACATCAATTACCGGTATTTTTAGATTTTGAAGCTTCTGTATCTGTGTGGTTTTTATTGTAAATCAGATTATGCAATGATAACTAATTTGAACTAGAGGTACTGTGAGCGATGAGCTCACTAAATGATACCCCCGCCTCCCATATGGTTTTAACTGGTGAAAAAGTCCATGTTTTCCTGTGGCCAGGAAACCCAAAGTAAGTGTCTTATCAAATTGGAGGTGCACAATGGCAATATGTAATAAAGATTCTGTGAAAGTTTCATCAAACTTCATTCAGTGATATGAGAGGAGTTGGGGATAAGAGATGGGTACCCCAAAGCGTAACAGACGGACAGACAGATGGACAGAAATACCGATTACTATATACCCTCCAGCTTTTCAAGCGGGGGGTATAATAAAGAATAAAAGTTGAAGGTTAAGGTGACAAAGTAAGCAATTTTTGCATTTTTGCACTCATGCACAGTGTCAATGCGAAAATCATTTTGATGGTGATGCAATGGCTGGTTAGACGGATGTAGATCTAATAGATATCAATTTTTCTTGATGCATGGAACAATGACATAGACAATTTTACACTTTCTCAAATAATATGTGAAACTCTAGAGAATGAAAATTGAGCATTTAAAGGAATATGTGATTTATCGCTGAGTCTGAAAGAAGAAGATTTGGGGATGATTTTGGGAATGATTATGGCGCTTTTGATGTAAATATGGACACTAACCCATTCATCAAAATTGAGCTTAAAGAGGAAGAAAAATCTACGCGCTTTTTAAGGACACCTCTAATGGATGAAGAGCTTCAATAATGCAGATCACTAAATTTGTTATGAACACAGAGAAATGGGATATGACACCAGGATATGTATTTTAAAAACTAGTACTTTTGTATCCAAGATTTTTTAAAAACTAGTACTTTTGGTTTTATTTTTCTGATTATCTTCCCTTGTGTAAGGGTTCCACCCCTAGTTTTAGTACCTTGGGTCAAGAATACCCAGTGTGACAAATTTGACAATGATTGCCCAATGGGTAGCTGAGTTATATTCTATATTCTTAAACAGTACGCAAACCACACAAATGGCCATAGCATTAGCTCTTTGAGACTTTGGCTCAGAAGAAGGCTCAGAAGAGCTAAAAAAGGACTGGATGGAATACCCATAGAAATCAATTTATCTGATATTGTGTGAACTATTAAGGCACTTAAGAGATAAAGGAATATATGACAAACTTGGAAAGTGCTGCTAGAATCCCGATTTTTAAGCATGGTTTTACAAAAAAATCTCAAATCAAGGAGGTAAAAAATTCAAAATATCGGGTAAGGTTTCGAGAGAATGTGTGGAATAATTATTTTACTGAACGGGACAGTAGGACTTTCTAGCTAGCACTTTTTAGGCAAAGTAGATGTTTTTTAACTTCATTATTTACTCAAAGAAATGATTAGAACTTATTTATATAAACAAATGTCTTTTATGAAGTCAAAAATATATCATCTATTAATAGAAGTCACACTGATGCTGTGGTGTGATTGCACGTCGTTTCGTTAGGCGCTCTTTTATTTTATGAATAAATAAGTAATAGTTTAACTCTTTTATCAGCGGTTTTGGTCATAATTTTGCAAACTAAATTACCTTTAAAAAGTCATGAATTTCCTGAAAAATGACTTATATGTTTCACACACCCGCGTGTAAACAATCTATCAGCACCCAATTAATGCCTATGAGGGAAAGAGTCACTACCTTTTCCTCAGCAAAACGGTGAGAATAAACAAATTTAAAAGTTTCATGAAGGCTTGATTGATGTAAACTGGTTTGTCTGGAGGTTTTCACATATCATGGTATGGGTAACACAGATGTAAAAGTGTTATGCAGACTTGTTGTGTACAAAGTTTAAAAGTTTCATGAAGGTCCCTTGCAGGTAAATTTAGAATTGTAATTCATTGTCAAGGCAAAAATGTACTTCGATTTTGCAGTTATGCGAAAGTACAAAGATTGCAGCTTGGGAATGCTGCAAAAAGTGTCACAAGGTCTAGATCTGTCACGTAAATCTGAGAAGAGGCTATTGGAATCTGAGAACAATGAGCTGCCTTCCAAGTATCTCCATGGTGATTTGCAATTAAGTGTCAATGAAAACTTTGCAGTGAAACCAGGAACAAATCCGCTATGTGTGAACAATTCAAGGAATTACTTTTATTCTGGCTTCACTTAATATGTGTAATTTTACTTTTTCTATGAAATGAATAGGGCCATCCTTAAAAAAAAATGTTTGTTTGGAATTGCTGCCTGAAGGGTTTCAGACACAGGAGGAAGGGAGGGAAATTATTTTTTTTTAATTGAAGATAAATTCAAAATTTTTTATAAAAATCTCAGTAAACAGTAAATACATATACATTTTCTTACTTTAAAAAAAAAGCATCTACCATCAACAATAAAACCTAATTTTACATAGGTCTGACATGTGATAAATGTAATGGGCAAAAAATTCCATAGGGTTCCAAAAACTGTTTATCCTGGAAGGATGGAGAAAAATTATATGAAGATTAAGATACATGTAGCAGTGAAATATTGCAAAAGTATGACATAATGAACATTAACATGGATTTCATTCTCCTACTTACCCAGAACCTGAGAGAATAAGGAGACAGAGACAACCAGTCCCCATCATAACCAGCAAGAAAGGATGGAATCGGTTGAGGAGTTGAGTTCTCATCAGAACCTACAAAAAAGTCACGTCAGTTTATAAAATGTCATAACATACAGGAGTAGTTCCAATATATAGTCTAATTACTTTGTCAGTTAGGCCAAAATTTTTTTATTGGTTGTTTTACGGATCCGCCGACCCCATTTTTCTAAGTTTTGGAAAAAAAATAAAAATTCCATTCAATCCTTTTTTTATAATCGCCGATCGAACTTTACTTCAATCATATTAAAAAAATCCGGAAATGACCGTCCATTGTTTGAATTTTACTTAGTTGTGATCAGAATCATGTAAACGCTTCCACTATTGACCCTTTAAAAAAAAACTCTGCAAGCGTTTTATAGTCAGAGATGAAATAAGTATGACGGCCATGTGAAACATTTTAGGTTTTTCAAAACAGAATATAAATGTTTTAAGGACAGTAGTAAATGTATGACGGTTTTTATGGGCTGATCAGGCTGGTGATTATTCTATTATGATGTTATCTGATCAGCGAATGGAGTGTGGTGGTTGAGGAAATTACAGCCAAAACCAACGAATCTGATGTCATCACTTGCACTCCATCTGACACCCATAACTTTTCTTTGAGGGTTTGGCGAATTTTTAAACAGTTATATCTAATGGTTAGTTAACAGTTCATATAATATTTATGACATTTTTAAAAGAACATGTTTGACTGTATTTTAAAAATCTGCAAGACGTGTTGTCAATTGTTAAAACGTCAGAGAAATAAAAGATTTTTTTTATCATTGTACAGGTATGAATCTATCAAATGATGTGAAAGAAATGTTTCTTAAAGTTTTAAATTTTAGATTTGGAAAAGGAACTGACTCATCAGGATGTTCTAAGACAAAAAATGTTTGTATGAGAGTCATAGGAATGTGAAACCCTATGGGGATGACTTATCATTCTGGTAAGTTTATTTGTGTCCATTAACTGTGCACTGAATTTTAGTTTTATACTGTTTAATACTGTTTAAGAAAAGGTATTATGTGAATTTGATTAAACTTTTTATTATTTTACAGGGGGTTGTGTAAAATTTGCTGAAGTGTGTTTTTCTGTGGCAATGTGGACGTAGCAGTGAGAGGACACCCATATCCAGTCATAGACATACACAGAAAGTTTAGCATTGTTCACATATGTCTCTCTGCTCGGAGAATCATTCTCTTTTAGTGAGGAATGCCAAGAAAGACATTTCTGTGCAATGTTCTGAGGTTGATTTCCCCAACTGCTTTGATATGCCGCATATTAAAGTTTTGAACATTGAACACTTCTTCTTCTTCTTCTTCTTTTTTTTTTTTGTAGCCACCCAATGGACATTTTCCAAAAAAAATCCGTAAAAGCTAATAAAATAAAAATGGCCTTATGTTGACTAAATGTCCTGTGTAACCCAGACTTTTTTGTACAGACTGGTGAACCTAGTGTGTTGATGTACTCTACATATACTCTACCTAGTAATCACAGGTGATTTCAATTTTCACGTCGACAATCGTAGTGATCCTGAGGCAAGCAGGTTGTTACAATCCCTTGATGATCGCAACCTTATACAACACGTGGACGAGCCGACCCATGTTCACGGACATATCCTAGACTTGCTTATCACACGATCATCTAGTGAAATACTACATTCACGTCCTCAAGTCAAAAATCCTTCATTGAGTGATGTGAAAGGAAACTTGTGCTGTGACCACTATGCTATACATGCAACGTTCAACTGCAGAAAGCCACAACATCAACGTAAAGAGATTACGTTTAGAAGGCTCAAGAATATCAACATACATGACATGAGTAGAGATATTAAAAATCAACTACAAGATGAATCCGCACGAAATGAGAACACGTCTGTTGACCATTTAGTACAAGGGTACAACAAATGCCTCTCGCATATTCTAAACACTCATGCGCCTCTTGTTAGCAAGTCAATTCTTATAAGAGCTAACACAGAGTGGTACACAGACGAGCTCAGGACAGCGAAACAACAGAAGCGGAAAACGGAGAGACGTTGGCGTAGATCTAAACTGGAAATACACCACCAGCTATTTAAAGCGGAATGTAAGCAAACAGGCCAATTACTACACAAGGCAAAAGAAGAATTCTATTCTACTAAAATTCAGGAATGTAGACATGATCTGAAAAACTTCTTTAGGGTGACAAATTTATTGATGGGTAAGAATCAGGAGAGTCCCCTACCAACATCACCATCAGATGAAGATCTTGCAAATAAATTTTCAACGTTTTTCATAGACAAAGTAACATCCATCAGAGAGACACTTAAACAAAAAACAGAAAAAGAAGACAGCTATTTAGGCACAGACGTATACTATCATGGGCCTGTATTAGCTGCTTTTGAACGTACCACTGAAGATGAAGTACGATCACTAATAATGAAGGCACCCAGTAAATCATGCGAACTGGATCCAATTCCAACAAAGCTACTGAAAAAGTGCCTGGATCCGGTAATACCGCTTGTCACAGAAATGGTTAATGCATCTCTCGATCAGGGAATTTTTCCGTCTGCTTGGAAGGAGGCCATAGTTCGTCCACTGCTTAAGAAACCTGGACTAGATAAGGAAGTGTTGAAAAACTATCGGCCAGTATCGAACTTGAGTTTTATCTCAAAAATATTGGAGAAAGTTGTGGCTCGTAGGATTGATGCCCATTTGGATGCGAATTCTCTTCGCGATCCACTTCAGTCGGCATATCGTCCCAGGCACTCCACGGAAACGGCCCTCATCAAGGTCCACAACGATATTGTGACAGCCCTGGACCAACAATCTTCGGCAGTCCTTGTCCTTCTGGATTTATCCGCTGCTTTTGATGTTATTGACCATAATATATTGTTCCAACGCCTGACTGTGTCTTATGGTTTCCGTGATGGAGCTCTTGAGTGGATCAAGTCTTACCTCAAGAACAGAAAACAATGTGTAACAATTGGATCCGTCCGATCAGAGTCTAGACAGCTGCCTTTTGGTGTCCCCCAAGGATCTGTGCTCGGACCGAAATTGTATTGCCTCTTCTCCAAACCCATTGGAATCATATGCCACCGCCATGGAATGATATATCACTGCTATGCAGATGATACACAAATCTACATGATCATAAGACCACTGGAAAATTGGAAGAATTACTTCTCTCGACTTGAAGCGTGTCTTAGTGAAATTGGCTCATGGATGACATCAAACCTACTCAAACTAAACCAAGAAAAGACCGAGCTAATAATCTTCTCCACAAAGCAACATCAGAAATATCTGCCAACATTACAACTAAAAGTTGGTGATAATATCATTGAAAGCGTGCCATGTGTAAAAAATCTAGGTGCATTTTTCGATCAACACCTTACTATGGAAAAACAGGTATCCTCGGTCGTCAAGTCATGCTATTTTCAAATAAGCAATATTGGACGAATACGGCGCTTTCTTACAAAAGAAGCCTGCAAGACCATGGTGAATGCCGTTATCACAGCCAGGCTGGACTATGGGAACTGCCTTCTATATGGAGTGTCGAAGGCCTTACTAGACCGGATTCAAAAAGTCCAGAACAAGGCAGCTCGTTTAGTTACAAGATCATCGAAACGGGAGCATATTACACCTATCCTAGCTGATCTTCATTGGCTACCTGTTTCTTTTCGTCCACAATATAAAATCTTGACATATGTCTACCAATCCTTACACGGATTAGCTCCATCGTATATCAAAGATCTTATAATGGAATACAAGCCTACCAGATCACTGCGATCTGAGTCAACATCACGGTTAGTTGTTCCTAAGATCAGGACGAAGACATATGGTGAACGTCGACTTGGTTGGGCAGCAGCATTTTTGTGGAACGACCTTCCTAATGATATAAAGCAGGCCCAGTCCCTGGATATTTTTAAAAGACAATTAAAGACGCATTTTTATAGGATAGCTTTTTAAATTTTAGGTGCTCAATTTTTAGCAGCAAATCATAAATCACTAATGATGTTCTTTTATTGAGTTTTATATTGATGGTGTAATTGTATTTTGTATGTAATTTGTAGTATTTTAATGTTATAATTCCGAACATATATATTAGTATGGGTTAATATTTTATATAAGTTTTCATAGCTTTTAAATTATGTTTACTCGCGTCTTATTGTACAGCGCTTTAGAGTTAAATTATTAATATTTAGCGCTTTATAAATTCATATATTATTATTATTATTATTATATATACAAATTCAAATAATGTTAAAATATTGTAGATCTTATTTACCTCTACCAGCAAGCTGGTGAAATTCTTTCCAAGTGAGAGGTCCTGATAATTTGTATTTATGTTCCCATAAAGGTATACTTCGTTTGTTTTGTATGGCATCTTGAAGAATAGGTTGTAGAGATTTCAAAACTTGTACACAATCTTGAGAATTCTGAGGTATTCGACTAGCACCTGTATTATAAGAAATGGTACACAGTGATCACTTTACTCAATTTCTTCCAACAAGCAGGAAAAGGGCAGTTTGGCTTTTACATTTCACAAGTCACACAATGACTATAAAAAAATCTATTGCTTGATCACCTGTTTTATATTCTTTACCTTGTAAAAACTGCCATTTGTGTAAACACGTAGCCTTTAGAATGGGATCGTCTAGTTTGTTTGGAGAGCAGTGTTCCATTGCTTGTCTCCCGAGATCCAGCGCCATGTATGTGATGTCATTTCCATCTGTAAAACATTGTTTACAATCTAATTCATGGGTCAATCAAGCTATAATGTATACAAACAGCAATTTTTGGATGAATTAAATACATTTATAATCAGATTGACAAAAATTATACACAAATGATTCATGGGTCTTCAAATATTCTTTTGTCAGAAACTACTGTATACAGGGTTATTTTTGCAACATGTTATTTTCATCCTTTCACACTTGCAATTACAGTCTTCATGAAAACTCACTAGCCCAATGCTCGATGCTAGCAAAAATTGGTCAGTGCTAGTACAGTCAAGGGCATCATGGAAAAAAGATATTTTTGAAATAATTCGTTTCAGTTATTAAATGTCAACATTTTGGGTTATCTTTCCCTGATTATGCTTTTCTTCAGTAACTTATTCTTGTTATTGATACTTTACTACTCATTATTGTAAATCTACGGGCATCTAAATAGCTTTATTCACGCTGTGCTTAGGTTATTAAGTAGAAGGAAAATGTTCATGACAGTAAAAGTAATCTATCTTTAAGATTTAACACATTGATTTGAAATCCAACAAATTACAACTTATTTCAGTTATTTCATCATTAACCCACCTCACTTTAAAACTCTTGCACAAAAATCTACAGCTATGCACAAAAAATATAAGACATGGAGATTGTACAGTAATATCCAAAGATTCTAGGAAAATTAGTCTCAAAGTTGGCAAAATTGGCAGAAGATGTGTAATTGACCTCTGAAATGTTAGTGAAATGGAATTATTTTTCCTTGAAAAATATTATGTTATTTTTTTAATATCATCATATCTACTCAGGAGATATTGGGTTTGTTGAGTCTATTAAGAAGAGTACACATATTTACAATTTTCTTAGCCTTAAATCATCTTAAATTAGCAGCAAAGTCAAAATATCAATGTTTTTTGGCAAAACTGATAGGCATTCTACTTTTAAGCATTAACTCAAACAAGTTACTTTTTTGTTTAGAAATAAATAAGTGAAGTAACCTAAACAAGTTATTTTAAAAAATCTCTTGATTCCATCATGCCCCTGACTGTAGTAAAAATTGTTTCAGAAGGAGCCCGACTGGCTAGTGAAAAGCAGGCATAGGGTAATCGCAATCAAATATTCATAATCGATTGTAATGATTACTTTTTTCAAGTAATTGACAGTAATCTGTAATCTAAGATATTACAGCTAAGATTTTGATGCACAGGCACAGCTGTCAAATGCATATTCTATATTTTATATGCAATATTGTGTATAACATGTACACCTGTTCCAAGTGTAACCGCAAATTATTAAAGATGGATAAAAATAAATTATGTTTAGGCCAAAAAAAATTAATCAATAGTTTCTCAGGCACTGCCGCATCAGTTCAAAAATGGCCGCATTGATCAATTTTATTGACATATTGAAAAGGGAAATAACTCAATTTTCTATTTTTTTCCAAGCTGAAAAAGAAAATCGAATTATTCCCCTTTTCATAAATGCTAACATAGACTTTTTATTAGGAAAAAAAAAATACATTTCTTCTAAATTTCCAGTATTTTATTAATTAACTTTTAAGGGGGCCGACTATAGTTTCCATTGCGCAATATTTCGCGCATCATAGTAAAATGAAGCGTATTTACTGTTTTAATGCAACTTTTTTCGCTAAATTATTGAAATTAAACAAAATTAAGAAATTCCAGATATAAAAGTGTAATTAAAATTTGATATAATTAATTTTTTAACCGATTTTGCAATTGATAGGTAGGTTGACGTCGTTGCAGTGTGTTTTTGACGTTATGGTAATCTGTAGCTCTTAAAGAAAGGGGTAATAAAAATATAATTAAAGAAAAAGTAATAAACATACGCTCTTGAAATTTAAAACATAGAAATTTGAGAATATCTACAATAATTTTATAATGTTTTCATGTGAATCCATTGTGTACGTCAAATTGTGAAATACTCTATAAAAATAGTAAAATTTGCTAATTTTTTGCATTTTGAGATGCCCCCTCTGGTAACAAGACGGTAGAATTTTGTGTTTCATACATATATTGTATAATGTAGTATTACTCATCAAATATTATAGTTTGAACAAAATGTCTATTGTAGTATTTGTATAATTTGCTTTAAATAGCCAAAAATTGGCATTTTCCTATATAAACCTGTAGTAAATGTACCTGTATTTTGAGACGGTCCCTCAAAAATACCTGGACGGTAGATTTCCCCCAAACTTTGCATGTACACTGAAGTTAATGTAAGGTATATATGGTATAAAAATGAAGAGTTTCGCTATTGTAGTTTTCACACAATAAAACTATAGTCGGCCCCCTTAAATAAATATTTGGAGTAACATTATTTAAAGTTGAATACATATTACAACCAATTTCAGAGAACAAAAATTAAGAATTGGTAGATATTATCATTTTATTGAACAAATGGCTTAAAAAAGGTGTTAAACCTGCCTGCCACATTGAATTCTGATTTTTTTGGCCTGAGAAACTATTGATTATTTTTTTTGGCCTTAAACAAATAAAATCATTTTACAGGTGTAAAAGTCAAAATATTGGTGCCTTTCATGCCCCCATAAATGGAGTTTTGGGGGGTATATAGTTTTTGTCCTGTCCATCTGTCTGTCTGTCTGTCTCTCTCTCTCTCTCTCTCAGTCTTGTCTGTTTGTCTGCAAAAACTTTAACCTTGACCATAACTTTTGATTAAGTGGATGCATTTTACACAAAAATTCCAAACTATTACTTTGGCCATATCTTTTGAATAGTAGATACCAGGACTTTTATACTTCATATATGTATTATTTGTGGAAAGACCTTTCATTAAGTACCAAAAACTTTGACCATTTGACCTTGGAGATTTCCGTACTTAAGAAAAAAATTTAACTTTGGCCATAACTTTTGAACTGTAAGGGACAGGGCTTTTCATACTTCACAAACGTAATCCTTGTGAAAAGACGCTTCATTGGATACCAAGAACTTTGACCCTTTGACATTGACCTTGGAGATTTACCTACTTTTAAAATACAACCTTGACCATAATTTTTGAAGGGTTAGGACTAGGGCTTTCATAACTCACATATCGAATCCTTGTGACAAGACTTTTGATTTGATATCAAGTACCTTGACCCTTTGACCTTGGAGTTTGACCCATTTTTACACAAAAGATACAAACTTTTTCTTTGGCCCTAATTTTCAAACGGTAGATACTAGGAATTTCAAATATCAATTCTTTGTGGTAAGACCTTTCATCTGAAACCAACAATTTTTACCTTTTGACCTTGGAGATATCCGTACTTACAAAAAGAATTTAACCTTGGCCATAACTTTTGAACGGTAAGGGCTAGGGCTTTCATACTTCACATATATAATCCTTGTAAGAAGACCTTTCATTTGATATCAACAACTTTGACCCTTGGACCTTGACCTATTTTTTACAAACTTTAACCTTGGACATAACTTTTGAATGATAAAGGCCAGCGCTTTTATACTTCACATATGTAAACTCTGAGACAAGATCTTTCTTTAGAAACCAACAACCCTGACCCTTTGACCTTGATCCTGTAGTTTGCCCTACCTTTAAAAACGTTAACCTTGGTCATAACCTTTGAACAGGTGGTGCCAAGGTTTTATATTTCATATTTGTATTTTTTCTGAAAAGGCCTTACTTGAGGTACCAACATACTTGATCTGCATTTGGGAAAGCTTCACCTTTGCTACGTTGCCATACGGGGGCATCAGTGTTTTACAAACACATCTTGTTTTTTTATGAAGAAAAACCTATCAAGGCTGGAAAAAACCCACAAGTGCATTAACAGGTGTATTACTTTAAAGATTGTACTATCCAACAGCAATTAATTTTTTCCCTGTAATAATTGTTATCAAAAAATGAAAGCTTAAAACTGACAGTTATTGCATCAAACCCTGTGATTGGCACTCGAGTTCACCACAAGTGTGAAATATTCTAGCTCTGGTGATTTGAGTTGTTCATGAATTATTTTTCAATTGATAATTTGAGTAAATCTTCTATTACGAATGTTATATCAATGACTTATGCATAGCAGCAATGTATGAAGCATGGCAGAGAATCATGAATGCATGATGGACTTGTCATGCAAAAATTAGCAGGGTTCGACATTCGCGCTCGTCACCTCGTCATTTCCATCCAGAAATGATTTCGGACGACCTGATTTTTAGTCTGCCTCGCCCAAATGACGACCTGGGACAAGTTGGGAATATCTAATAATGATCTTTAATATTTTAAAATAAACTTCATGAGGCTTTGAAAACATAATTAACTATAACAAAACCAACCCTTTCAACATGTTCAAATTGCAGCCGTGAAGATTTTTCTCACTGCCAAATATGTGCTCGATCAATCAGCTGATGCAATTTTTACCAAAAGTCTTTATTTAAGTTTTATTTGAGATATAAAATATGTCAACTTAGTCAACAATCACCTTAAATATACGGAGAAATAATCATCATTGTAAAATCTTGCATTTCCCCCTACAACTTTCGGATCATCTGACGATCGTTTTCTGCTGCTAGACAGCCATGTTGGGTGTCCACTGTAATATCACACCTGGTTAATTCAGTCCAGGGTTATTTGAACCCATTTCTGTAGGGTTTCATGGAAATAGAAAATGAATGTTTTAAACTACAAACCTTAGCATTCTGCATGTCTGATTCAATCATCATTCTGCTCATATTTTTGTTTGATAAAGTACTGGAAGACATCTTGACATTCCAAAAATGTCTGGTTTACATTTTTTTAAATGCACAATTGAAAAAACACAACTTCTTTTGATTATCTTTAGTTAACAAATTTTAAACAATTGCACATTGAGTTTTGTTTCGTTTGAAATTTTATTTGGACGACTTGAAATTCATTCGGGCAACCTGTGATCATACATAGGTTGCCCAAATGGCGAGACCAAATTTTGACGAGTGTCGGACCCTGAATTAGTCCATTAAAAAATGCAACATAGATCTTTTAGGAATGATTAGTTTTAAAATATAGTTACAAAATACTCTTTATACTTTTTTTAAAGTGAAGTGTTTTATTCCAAAAATTAGTATCCCAATTCTGTTCCTTTTTTTCTACACCGAAGACACCAGATATTTTTCATTTGTTTCATACTATATCATTTGTAACAAAAGGTTTTACTTAAGGCTACATAAATTCAATTCTCTAGTTCTCAGTCAATTTTCTCCAATACAGAGGCAGGGGGGAGGGTTTTTTTTCAAATTGGTCTCCATTAAATTTTTTTTTATTCTCTATCAAAATTATGATTAAATTTGGAATGTGGCTCCCTCAAAACAGATGTACCAGGGCCTAAGAAACACTCTCAATTTGATTTAGCTTTACACCACTTATTAAAATAAATACTCAATTGACTCTGAATTGTTTTTACTATCTGGCAAGAATCTAGAAAGCTAAAAATAAATTTGGGATTTTCCAGTTTAAGTTGTAGATTTTTTTTCAGTTTGTAAACACATGTACAATGCTACTGCTTTTGAAATCCTTATCTCCCATTTTTCATCTCAGTACATTAACATGTATGATAACAGTTAGAAAAGCGTAGTGATTCTTAGTCAGAATCTTCGCTAGCCAAGGGTTAACAATCTGCTCAAGCAGCTCAACTCTTCTACAACCCAAGTTCGCTTAATTCGGAGAGGAGTGGTGCCGATCATAAACCGTTGGCTAGTGAACATGTAAAGTTCACTCCCTACATTTTACTTCTGCCTTTCTCAAAGCTGTTTTACCTTTTCTCATAAAGCATAAGAAAACAAGATGTGTTTGTGAAACACTATACGCCCTGCGGCAACAAAGTTCGAAAAAAAGCTTTTTTAGCATATAGATCACTGTCATTGGTCATTGACCTTAGTGTCATTAGAAAGAGCTTAATGAGTGAAGTACCCAAAATAAATATGAAGTCTCTATCTTTCATGGTTCAAAAGATATAGCGAAGGTTAAAGTTTGCAGAAAAAATCTATTTTTAGCATGTAGATCACAGCCAAGGTCACAAGGTCATAGACCTTGGTGTTATTTGAAAGAGCTTTATTAGTGGAGTATGCGTACCAAATATGAAATCTCTGTCTTTCATGGTTCAAAAGTTATGGCGAAGGTTAAAGTTAGCAGACAAACAGACAGACAGACAGGACTACAACAATATACGCCTCGGATCGATGCATAAATAAAAAAGAAATGGACAACGCAATTTTTTAAGGTTACCGACCTTGAAGTTGTAAAACATCCACCAAGGCAGAAGAATTGTCTGTAAATCCTGACGTTGTGTTCATCATGCTGAGTCGCAGTATGTGTTGTATTGTTGATGATGAGGGATAGGGATAAGAAAATTGGCTGATCAGCAGATTTAGAATCTCGTGAGGCAGATCTGTATACTCCGCTAGCTTCTCCCCATCTTTCTGATACTCTAGGGCCAACAAACTAGGTTTACGCCCCTCGTATCGATCGTTTCTAATACCCGTAATATCCACTTCATCTTCATAAAATAACCCGGAATTAAATCCAAAACGTCTGTTGACTATAGCACTAAATCCACAAACACAACGGGTGGCAGACTCCCCTGAGGAATCAGGTAAATAAATCTCAGTGTCTGCTCCCTTAATGTTCATGTTACATACACAGATATTGCAACTATCAAAATTCACATCACGAAACAAATTTGACCTTGAATCCATTAAGAACACATTGACAATAAGACTGTGAACTTCTGGAATTTGAAGGTTAGTTCCTTGGTTGTCTATAGAGTTCAGTGTTTTGTTGAGATAGGAGGAAGCATTAGATGCTGGAGACTGGAGTTCATTATAGTTACTCATTGGAGTCCTCTGTTGGCCTACACTATTGTTCAGGAATGTGGCTGGTGAATTTTGTGGCATTCGTGATGACATGCTCGGTATGTTTTCTATGGACGGGATATTTGTATAATTGCTGCAAGTAATAGATCATTGATTACTAATTACATCATAAACTTTCAAGCAATTTTTAAAAAATATTTGCAATAACTGCATAACAATTATGTTTACCTTGGTTGCAAAGGTTTCCCAAAGCTTGTGAAATGCCAATGGGCTTTGTATTCTGGTGGGCGTGGTATAGGAGACATCTTGCTGCTCTGTAGTATTATTGGTGAGTATTTATCAGAACCAACAAAATCGGCTTGTTCCAGGGGCTTGTAGACAGCAGGCAAGTCCTGAAAGACACATGTATACATCATTATTAAATGCACTCATCAAGAGCATGTGTATCATTTCCTACTGCATTAATTTTTAAATACAGGATACCAAGCAAAGGAAAACGAAAGTAATACCCTGAAGAAGTCTTCCTTGATTGGAATGAACTCGGTCTTGACGATGGGCTTCTCTGGGATATGGTTGTCCAGTATATCATGAGGGCCAGGGGATCTGTCAGATGAGGTATTATTTGATGGAGGGGTGGGGTACATTTTGGAAAGTTCTGAGACAGCTGAAAAGGTTTAAATTCAAATTAATTTGTATTCTGAAAGCATCATCAAAACGCAGATGAGCCCATGAAATAAATAATTTGTATTACTCACAAATTGTGCCATCTGCAACTGTCATTGCATTGCCCATTGTAAACCTTGTGGTGCCATCATCCATCATGTCCACTGTCTGAGGATGGTCACCAAACTGAAAAGATTCAAAATTCCGCATACATAAAACCAATTAAAATGTTTGTAAAACTAGAAGAGAATGGTTATTTACTTCATGAAAAATTTGGGATTTGTGATAATCTGATGATGCACAATATTAAACAATAAAGGTCCATAGGGCAAGACAATCTCCTTCAAACTAAAATAAAGGAAATTGATCTACTCAAAACCCAACCATAACCTCATCTCAGAAGCCAAGATACGGAGGAATGAATGTTTCATGAATGAGATTTCTTGAAACAGTAGAGTACCTGCTGCCTTACAACAAATTCTCCTAGTAAACTTTCCTGATCTAGATACATTCAAACTTTCCTGATCTAGATACATTCAAATTCAGAAATTCTACACAGAATGACTTACATTATCATCTCTGTCTGAATCATCAGAATCAAATATGTGAGCCAGGTCATCATAGCTGGGCTTCAGATCACTCGTGTGAATCAGATTCCTCGAGGCGCTTGGTGTTTCTGGAGGAGATGATGCCGAGTCTGAAACAAAAATTTTCTTCATTAGACCAAGTCTAGAAAAAAGTCAATAAAAATAAAGAGAATACACATTTTACATACCGTAAATCTGGAAATTTTTGCTGTAGATAAATTTTTAGCAAATTTGCGAGTTCATTGCATTCGCAAAAATAATTTTCTTAAAAATAATTCAACAATAAGAAAATGTAAACTAAGAAATGGTCATTCGCAAAATTTTGAAACGTAAAAATTAATCAACAGCATTTTTACCCAGATTTGCAAAATAAAATCGACGTAAAAATTTCCAGATTTACAGTTTATTTCCCCCTAAAATGAGAAATATAAGAATTCATATATAAAGTATATTTCAATTACACTTACAAACCATTTCACTATTTAAGTTAAATATTTCTTTTACCTGGAATTTCAACTGAAAAAGGATCACCAAAATCCATCTTCATGTCATCATCCTAAAAATAGAAAAATCAAAGGCCTGACGGCCTGAGAGGCGCATCGCATTGAAGGTATAAAACTTTTTTTTTTCTTAGAGAAATTCAACATCAATGTTAAGGGAATGAAAGAATCCAGGAATAAGAATTTAAAAAATAACTAACGTTTCTTTGAGGTTAAAAAAAATTGAGCCATGGCTCTGAGTTTTAGCCAATCGATCATGTGCAGGAGAGGAAAACTTTTTTTTTAAAAAAAGAAAGTCTGATATATTGATATTTAAATTAAATCATAACTGATTTTAATTGTATTTTAATTGTATTTTTATTCTTTTTTTTTAAATTTTTATTCTTTTACTATTAGGAAGATGAAATAATGAATGTCAATATAGAAATTACTAGTACTGATTATTGAAAAAATTAATATAATTAATTTTGATTAATTTCATATCTGAATTATTTCAGTTTCTTTCATTATGTGCACTTTTATAAATATCAGTACTTTGTTTTTAACTTTTCCCCAATATAAATGGCACAATATAACAAATGTTATATACATGAGATGTTCATGTAAATTATACGGGACTAAAATAAACAATCGGGCGTGGTATACGGTTTATTATGAACCCGATACAAAACCGAGTAATTAATCATACGAGCTGTTGATATGCAAATAGATCTTACTCCGCGTAGGGCACGTTTGTTGTTGTTTTCTCTCTTTGTTTTAATTGTTTATTTTCTCATTTTTTGTAACCTCTGTTGATTCAAAGTAAAAACAAACAAACAAAGTGAGATTTTATGTTATTAGCTGTTTAAAATTAACAATGGATATCGCCAACTTGTCAATGTACATTAGCACTATTTTTAATAACGTGTTAAGAATCAACATTGTTGAGTCCTTTGCCGCCGCAGTTCAGATAAGAAAGATGCCAGGTGGTAGCAATGAGGCTGCATCGAAAACGATGCGCCTCAAAAAAACAAATCAAATTTTTCATTTTGAAAATGCCCCCTCAAGTCTCCAAGAAATTAATTCTTTGCAGTCAAAAATGCTTTTGCTTGTGTATATCTAAATGCCAAAGGAGAGAGGGGTCTTTGTTTTAGGTATACATCCTAATTAGTCACAGTGAAAGTTGGCTGCTTTTTACTATTCCTAAATGAAGAGACTACTTTAAAGTGTTGAAAAACTATACCCACCATTTTCTTGTTCATGAATTCATCTCGACTTGAGCGGAACATTCTTTTAGACACAGTGGCCGGATTGATGGACTGCTCATCGTCATTGAAGTCGTAGGGGTCTGGCTGCTTCGTCTTGTGTTTTTGTGAGAGGTTTGAGGGAAGACCTGGAGATTGTGGACCCACCTCCACCAGTGAACAAGCCCTCTCCACCCTAGCTCTCTTCACTGGATACTCTGACCTGATGAGAAAAAACATACCAAATTAATCTTGTACATCAGTTCATGCCTGCTAACATTTAAAGACTATCCACATTACCTAAATTGACAGGTACAATGAGAATCACTTTTGTCATTAATAAGTTGAAATCAAAATGTATCTTTGTTAAAACTCTATACAGAGTATTAATACAACCATTTTCAACTTGATTTTTTTTTTCAATTGTACAAGAAAATGTATATACAGTCAATTCTCGAATTATCGCCATTCGATTCATCGCCATTTTCGCAATACCGCCATGATTTCCCAAGAACGTTTTTCCTGCTACATAAAATTCTCTTTATAATGCCAAATTCGCATACCGCCATCCGCCACCCTGTTTTCACAACAAATGTCCATTCTTAAGTGTCAATTAATAATACCGCCACAGGTGCGTGTGGTCAGTGAAGCGCGGCTAATTGGTTGACACTATCCCTGTTGTAAAACATGCAAAGCCAGTCAAGGTACATGCAATTAAGTAAACAATAATTTTAACATGAACTGTTAGAATAATTTTGTTTTCTATTTAATAAAATCATTTAGTCAAGGCTTCGCCAGGAAAGCGGTCGTTGTAAAGTATGCCGATAACGATATTATTTTGATGATCTCTGCTTTTAAAAACAATGCAAAGTTTGCTTTAAAAAATAATTATAAGTCAGAAATTGTGAACGTTTCATTAACAATGATTTTATAAACAATGAATTTATTCAAGAACTTATTTTAAGTACTATGGGCAATATTATCACGACGGTCGACCCAGCATTTTTTTTTCAATATCAGACGTGTAGATTTACATGCATACACATAATATCATTATGCATGTACTTGTCTTGATTTCATAACTGAATATTTTGTTTTAGCGAAATTGTACATAAAAAGATTACTTGAAGTATTTTCAAATTTAGAAATATGTTTATGCATACATGTACATGTAATAATAAAAATAGAAACGCTAAATGGCATTTCTAAGAACGATAACTCTACGTCTTATTTCCTAAAAGATGTTCAATTCATCGCCAAATTCGTTATACCGCCATGATTTCTAAATTACAAAAGGTGGCGGTTTAGTCCTGGTAGTAAGAGAGATTTTGTGACTAGTTCATCCTCATCGGTATCTTTAGCTGGAAGTACAGGCCGCTTGATGCTTGTGACCTCGGGCTGGGGCTGAGACGATTTGATCCAGTTATTTATACTGGCCGTCTTTGCCTCGCTCTGCTGACCAGGCCAGGAAAGAGGAGACAATATATTTTCTGCCACTTTCGGTGTTGATGCAGTGGCAGGTTTAATAAACTCAAATGCTGTGTTAGCTTGCGGTGGAGCTTCAGTGGCCATTTTAACAGGCTTATTCTCTGTTCCTGTATCTACGGGGGGATGAGGACTGAGTTTGGGCATAGCTGGGTCAGGTGGTGATGGGTGTCCATTCAGTGGAGACATATCTGCGGGGGATGCAGCCTCTACACTGGCTGCTGTACCACCTGTTGTTTCTGTTGAATTATTCAGCTGAGGAAGCAAAGCATTCCCAGCTGTGGAATTAAAAGAGGCCACAGGTCCAGAGAGAACTAATGGCATATCACTCTGTGATGTATCCTCCACCATTAAATGTCGACGATGGAATGGAGCAGCACCTCTAGCTAGACGTGACTGTTGGCGGTCCAGTTTCTCTGGTTTGTCTCCTTTCTTCCCAACTGGAGGTATGCTTTTATTTTGCTGAGTAAGTTTGTTTTTTGCACCTCTATGCCTAAAATATAATTTTTTTTAATGGTGATTTTCCATGTGCTAAAAATAAGGTGAGCAATATAAATGTTAGTAAACTTGGTTGAGATTGTTGTTTGTAACATAAACTAACAATACACATTCATGTCTGGAGACAATCATTGATTCAGTGAGATATAACCCTACCTTGCACAGTTACATGTTGTCTTGACTGAAGGATCATTGAAGTTCCACACTCCTACAGCGGCTTCATCACTCAGAGTCTCCATAGACCTGAAAATAACTTTCTGTATCAACTGACTTCACTTCACTCCCATCATCTACAGGAATTTGCTTTAAATTACTTCCATAAGCTTTCTTTTCTGTGAAACTTTTTTTAATAATATATTCAAAATGCTTTCACTATCTGTATGATAAAATAATTAATATAATGTACTTAAATTTTATTCCTCATATTTTTAAAGAAAATAACAAAGGATTTGGTTACCTCTTTGCAATGCCTGCAGTGATAAGGTTGTCCTGGGTGACCTTTTCTGTGATTCTAGCACTGAATGCCCGTGATGATTTAGCCATCAGATCTGTATTGGCATCTGTGTGAGCCCCTGTATATGGGGCACACTGAGTTTTCCCCCCTGCATCAGCCCCTGGGTGGATGCCAGCAGCTGCCGGTGAGGTAGGTGGAGTTAAGAGGCCTCCCGGGGCTACCCCGGGACGCTGGACAGTCGGGTTTGGGGCACGGGCCGGTGCATCTTCCATTTCACAAAGTAACACATAACATGAAGGATACTTCATCCTCACTCCCGCTGCAATTAAAATCAATTTTTAAGTACAGTAAGCACTGAGCTCTCAAAACAATAACCATGCTAAAATTTGCTTATGATAACAAAGTCCTTGTTTTGGTATGAGAAACCCCAAATATCTGGCTTATTGGAACAACATATTGGAGGTATTCAAGTTTTTGACTATCCAACATGGTAAGACCATTAGAAGCTTTCCAACTATGTACAGGGAAAGGAAACCACTTAAAAGTGGATGGACATGTTTTATAGAAAATGAATCCTTTTTATTCATACTTTTAAACTGTCCCAATCCAATAGCTTTATCACTCAATGAAAGTCTATTTCAATCGTAGTGTATGCTTTCAGAAGGGCTTCATGATGTCAGATTCATGAGATCAACAATCCTCCACCCTTTCTAGGGGGCACACACAACAATAATAATCAGTCTTCTAGGATGTACTGTATATACTCGCCTATAAGTCAGTTTTTTGGGAGTTGAATTTTGGTCCAAAACTCATTGTCTGACTTATAGGCAAGTCACTGAAAGATTGGTATTATTTCTGGTCGAAGAAATGTAGTTTTATAAGATTATGCATACAGTAAAAGTATTTATGAATTTGTATAGTTTTATTTTATTTTCAGTGCGCATTACTTATTTTGTTTAATGATTTGGAATTAAAAATCGACGTCGTGTTTGAAAAATATTAGTTTAAACCTTATTAAAACACCACAGCATTGATTTAAAATTGTCAACAAATTCTGACAAAAGTTGTACCGATTCATAAGTGGGTCAATGGCAAATTCCTCCAAAATAGCTGCAAAAATCACAACCGAAATATAGGCGGACCGACTTAAAGGCGAGTATATACAGTAGTAACAAATGTCCCCAAAACGAATTCTTAACATCATTTATCTCCATTATCAATACTTTTAACATTTTGCACAAAGTACATGTTTCTACAAAACATAATAGAAACAGACTTACCGACAGTGACTTCTACTAAGGGTGGCACTCGACTGACATCAGTTCCATCGTTTTTATCCAGAGGGTAGAACTGACTCCACTCTTCCATTATTTTACTGGCTGACTGATCAGTGTCTCTGTAGGAATTCCCTGTCAGTTTCCCACATAACCCGTATGGCACAAGAATAACTAGTAATAGAATCAAATGTGTTACTGACTTAGCAATAAATGCAATGTATCAACATTCAGTAACATCAAGGAATGTTTCATATGTGATTTACTAGAACTTCCACATCATTCAAATTTTAACACAAGTTACTTTTACTTAATTATATTTCAATTCATTGGATGTATTTTTTTTTGATTTATGCAATTCAAAATACAAAGTTGTTCCAATATCAAAACTAACAATTCTCTATAATTAAATTGAATAATTTTGATATCAGGTACATGTACACATGTAGTAAGGTGGTAAAAAAATGTTCTATTACCTTGAAGACTGTCTGGGTTTTCCTGGGCCAAGGCTAAATGATGATTGGTCAATCTCCACACTGGGGGGTGCTGCTTGACTTCTATACTGGCACACACAGAACTCTCCCCATGTAGGAAGAAGTTAAAACAGAACGACAAGTGGGTGCTGTAACAGAATAAAATGTTTATTGTTTTGGTTAAAAGATAAGATGTTTCCATCAATTGAAATGTCTACAAGAGTGTTTAAATAAATAAATACAAACATTTTAATTTTAATATCCATAACTAGATTATAGTTAAGATAAAAGTTTTAAGCTATAGGTAATGCAGTAAGTAAACTCTTAAACAGTTTTGGGGGCATATGATGTGTTCTCAGTGTTTTCCCCAAGAACCGGCTACCGGCCAACAGTCTACGCGAAAGTCACCGGACCGTCGGTTTTTACCAGTAAAATTAAGTTCGGGTTGGTAAAAAATTTCAGTATACAGGACCAAATGTCCGATAAAAAATAAGACCAAATAAATCTAAATTAAGATGTACACATGGTTCCCTTTCCAACAGATATACTTTATTTGACTAATTTAGCTGCAATACCTGATTAATTGTTAAGTATTACAACCCTGTCATGATAGTTTTTTCCTAATTCAAATTTCCCCTGTTAAGGATTAGAGGTCTTTAAATAACTCATACGTAGATTCAGTTGGGAAATTATTTAGATAATACATACATAGATTCGTTTGGGAAATTATTTTCAAATGATCATTGAACTTGAGTAACTATAATATAATGAGATGTTTCAGAAAAAAATTAATATATATTGGGAAGTGCATATTAATTTAAGAAAATCTTTGATACAGTGTATTTATTTACAATTTTAAAAAATTGCATGTAATTGGAAAATTAATAATATTACTGGTAACTTAACAAGTCCATTTCTATCTGGATTTATTTAAGGTATGATTTCAGATTGAGAAAAATTTAGCCCAATTCCACCAAACCTCCACCCGCCCTTTCAATCTCAAATTCATAATCACATGCATGTATGAATTTAAAGGAAAAGAGTCGGTCTGGTAAGAAATTTCTTGGTCTCGTAAAAATTTTATTTTTACCTGACATTTTGTCCTGCAAAAATTTTAAACTTTTGCATAGGCTGGGCCAAATTGACCACTTCAATTGAATACAAGAGATGTTTGTAAAACACTTATGCCCCCCTCCCCCCAAATTGGAATTTTTTTGTAAGTCCAAGGGGGCATAACTCTGTCAAAAATGGCACGATTGTACCCAAAACAGAACATGACCTAGATATTCATCTGATTAATCTGTATATTAAATTTCATCTCAGTATGTGCAACGGTTGCAAAGAAAATGAAGAAATAATTGAAATTTTTTCTTCTGTCAAAAATGGTGCCTCGTAAAAATTCATGTATATATTTACCTTTGATTTCAGTATTTTGCAACGGTTGCAAAAATTTTTTTTTCAAACTCCAAGGGGCATAACTCTGTCAAAAATGGTGTGATCTAGATATTCATGTGATATATCTGTATACCAAATTTGAATTCAGTATGTGCAACGGTTGCAAAGAAAATGAACGGAAACTGCAAATAATTGAAATTTTTCCAAATCCAAGGGGCATAACTCTGCAAAAATGGTGTGATCCCCAAAACAGAACTTGGCCTAGATATTCTTATATCAATTGAATAAAATTCCGTATGCCCTTGAAATAAAAATTTTGAAATAAAAATTTGTTGTAAGGCCCTCAGAGATTTTTTCAAAAACCTCAGTCCCTAGCCTGTTACAACTGATCTCTAACCCTTCACTGTGTTCCTGAAATAGATCATATCAATCCTTCTCCCATGATGAAAAATAAATTCTGGGAATTGGGAGGAAGTGAATTGTAGAATAATGTGTCCCGTCTTAAGACGGGCATATAAAAATGCATAAAACAACATTCCTCAGTCCAACCCCTTCTTCCAAAGAAATAATTATATGCAACTGTGTTTTACATCTCCATTAAATTTTTGTAGCTAACTCACCTCCTTTCCTGTCCACTAGGAGTGACATCGTGGGGCTGGACAAACCACTTCCCAATCCGTACAAACCCTCTGTGTAGGAGGCATCTACAATATTCATTATCAACATATCAAGCTTGAAATTTGTCTTAAATATACTTAACTTTAATTTGGATGTCAATTTTTTCTGAACACGTGTATATTTTAATTCAATTTGTTGACATCATTATATACAGTTGGTACAGACAAGATAAGAAGTTTAATGACAAGCAACAGAGAATGTAATTTTATCATAATTACTTCTTTCAGATATTGTGATTGAATTCATAGTCATAAATAGTTTGAAATAATTAAAATGTTTTACTTTTCAATAAGATTGTGGAGAGCTTTAAAAATCAAGGTCCTGCATTCATATGAAATTCCACATTCTCCCTTGTCCCATCCACCACTGGCATCCTCTGTGAAAAAAAATTTATAATACACCTAATTATAATAACAATTTACAAGCAATTTCTTTCTTGCTTACAAATCCTGAAAATATTTTATTTTATACAATTTAATAAAGCCTCATTCAAATTTAAACAGTGCAAATAACTTAAAACTGAAATGAAGTCATTTGAATGTAACATTTCATGATTTGCACTTAATGTTAATTGTTAATTGATGTCACAGTGTACAAAAGCAAAAGGTAAGTCTCGACAAAAATTATGCAAATCATTAAAACTGTCAAATTATAAGGCAGGGAAAATAACCTGCGGCCAATTTCACATGAATTTCATCAAGTGGAAAACTAGCAATAAATCACACAATATATTAACACTTGTCAATTCCTTCAATTTGCTTTCTGATCCCTCGACTAATTTGACAGAGAAACTGATTTCAACATAATTTATTTGGCACCGTTTCTTTACCTTTCAAATCTTCTGAGAGCAACCGATTCAAATTTTCAGGTTCGTCTCCATACCAAAATATCCACAATTCCTTGTTATAAGCAAGCTGATCAGTTGTGTATCGAGGCTGGTCAGAGCTCCTGGGAACCCTTCTCCATACTGACAAAATGTCAGCTTTAATGCATTTAGCATAAGACACCAACACTGGGTCCTCCAACTGGTCAACAGTTGTATACTCGGGATTAGCCGACAATCTTTTCCATTTTATTCCACGAATCTCCGTCTGAATAAACAAAATCAGTAGTTAATATGATGGAAGCGCTACGATCATTACACAGACGTAAACAATGTTAATTACACCGGCACGCGGACAGCAGACATGCACGGTGGTTGCATTCATCAAAGTTATTGTATTTTTAGAATAAATAAATACACAGGTGACATGTTTATCAAGCTATTAACTATTATGGTTCAATTTATATTTAAATTTACTCAATATCTTACAGTTATATTTAACCTTGTTATCGTAATTCAACATGTACAACTTATAATTGACTCATTAGAATACAACAGATTTAAAAAATGTAGACGGCCTTCGCCTGAAAAAGGCATTCAACTTACAAGTGAAAATAAATTTGTGTAACAATCCTCAAGTGAACAGCCGTTCCCCGATGGAGTTGAGTGACTCATTGTCACGCCATGGTTTTGCAAGACGAACACAGAAAAAAATCTTGTCCCTAAGACATTTACTTCAGTATATTAGCAGGAAAAACTTTCAATACAATAAAATCCTCGAATAATATGGCGACAGTAATGGCTGCGCTGGGTGAACAACGGCGGCAATGGCCGAGAGATACGATTGGCTGATTATCATCACATGGACGTTTGACCTACTTTTCGTCCATCATGGAAATTTCAGGTTACACACGAGAAATGCAGTGGGAGGCGTCAAAGAGAAGAAGTTTTAGGACGGAGTTCTGACATTTTATTTCTAACACTGAAATCTTTACCATGTGGTATTATTTATGGAGCGTTTTTTACGTAATCGTCTTGATTTGGCTGATCACAAGGTAAAACACAGAATAAACACTTCTGAAACCCTCACCCAGATAGCATGAGGACATTGGCCCAACGTTGGCCAAACAATGTCGGTTATGTTGGGCCAATGTTGGCAGTTTTACGTTGGCCCAATGTCTTACTGCTCATTGGCGCGCCGTTGGCCCAACATGTTGGGCCAATGTTGGTACAATACTGTTTGTTCATTTGTCAACGTTGGTACAACGTTGTTCCAACATACCAACGCCAACGCAATATTTTTTTAACGTTGGCCCAACGTTGGACCTCAGTTCAAAATATAATCATGACGTTGGTCCGACGTTGGTCCAACGTTGGTACAACGCTTTTGTTGAAATGCCAACGTTGGTACAACACTATTCCAACGTACCGATGCTAACCAAATATTTTGTAACGTTGGCCCTACATTGGACCTCAGTTCAAAATATAGTTATTACGTTGGTTCAATGTTGATACAAAGCTGATTCTTGAAATATCAATGACACAATTATTCCTCAATACAAATGTCTCACAAAATTAATTAAATTCTGTAATTTTTATTTCCCAGATTATACGACACAATTAATTTCACCATGTTTGGTCAAATACTTTTTTCCTCCTAAAATGTATCACAATATATTCTTTACCACTTTCATTTCATTAAAGTATTCCATGGAATGTAACTAAAAGAAGGAAGAGGTAGAAAGTTCAATGTTTCTCAAGTACACTCCACATCACTATGTCCACTACTTAATATCACTTTGATATAAGAGTCTTCAAGTTCTAACTGTAGAGTTTTGAAAGGTCATATTTGCATCACTTATCACTTTTTCTGTTGTTTATCTGTTCTTAGAATCCATGTTTCCCACACATATAAATCAGTCCCTTCCATATACAGAAATGCCACATCAATAGTCTCAGAGTGAAGAGGGTTTTTCCATCCCGGCAATTCCTGCAAACGTTAAGATTGTCATCAATTAAAATAGTATTTTCAAATGTTCATCAGCATCACACATATTTTTAAAGCAATCCTTAAAATTGAATTTCACATTAGTAATTATTAATAACAAATACAAAATAGTTACTTACATTTCACTGGTTAACATTCTTGTGTTCACTTACAGATCCGGACAAGCCCGCCAATTCCTATAAAAGTTAAGGTCGTCATCAATTACAATTGTTTAATCAGCTACCTGGTACCAATAATTTGAAAGCCTACATGCAGGCCATTACAATATTGTGTATTTCACACTATTAATTATTTCAACAGACACACTTAAACAGACACATACGCTTTGAATTGTTAAAGTGCGCGGTTAAAAAAAACTGATTTAAAGATCACGGTTTCCTTGGAGACCTATGAGTCACCTGCCGAGCCAGTGAATTTCACCAGTGACCTATTTATTTTGGAGCCCAAAACTTGCAAAACACAGCACTTTAAATTTGATTCAATGATGCTAAATATAGAATCTACCAAGATATAAAATTACTATATGTATTTCACAGACTTATAAGGATTGTCTCATAATTTCCATTCAATATATAATATAGATCACATGTTTATAATGAGTTGCTTATTACATTACCATCGATTTACAATAGATAAATCTAAATTGATGAATACTTTTCGCAACATTGGGCCAACGTTGGACCAGCATTTCATCTCAAACATTGCAGGCTACCTGTACATGTACTAGTAATCCCAGTATTCCTACTATTGGACCAACTCCAGTTCAGTCAAGCACGCCCAACACAGAGCAATGCATCATTATATTGTCAACATTTATTAAGCTGGGCCAACGTTGGGCCAACATTGAATAACCAACAATAAGTGGCAATGTTTTGCCACTAAAGTGTACTCAGTTAGACCTACGTTGGTCCAACATTTCATATTTAACACACAATGGTCTTAATCCATGTCAACATTTACTCGGTTGGACCTATGTTGGGCCAACATCTTAATGTCCAACACAAAATCGCTATGTTTCTTGTCAACATGTAACTACAATGGGCCAATATTGGGCCAACATCACATGCCCAACACCGTTGGTTTAGCTTTCATGCCAACGTAAATGAACGTTGGACCAACGTTGGGCCAATATCACATGCCCAACACCCTTGGTTTAGCTTTCATGCCAACGTAAATGAACGTTGGACCAACGTTGGGCCAATATCACATGTCCAACACCGTTGGTTTAGCTTTCATGCCAACGTAAATGAACGTTGGACCAACGTTGGGCCTACATCTGTTCCCCAACGCCAACACTCCACCGACCATACAACCAAAAACCAACGTTGGCCCAACGGAGTCATGCTATCTGGGCAGTACCCATCCATCAAACCCAACGACCTGTCAAGAGAACTAAACATTTTATTTAGCATGTCATGTTTAACAGTTCAGTTTGGGACTCCCCCTTAAATTTTCACTATCTGTACTCTAACACTACCTCATTTATGAAATTTTGAAGGTGGTAAAAAACAATTCAAAAGGAGATCCACAGTTTCACACACATTTCATGAAATTTAACTATATAGGATAAGTATAACTCTGACAGTTACTTTCTTAGACTAGAGGCGACAAACTGACTTGGCACTCATTCATATTGAAACCATGAAAAATATGGAGATAACGAACATGTTCAAGTTCAAAAGTCCATTTCACAATACAAATTTGGCAAAACGTGGACCTCTAATTTCTAAAAACAGGAGAGGTGGGATCAGGTGCCATGGAGTAGTGAGCATTCCCTGCTGGTTTGGTCACACCCACTGTGTTCTCCTCAAGGTCAGGAAATAACAATAAACAAGAATAGATATGGGTTACCCCATATCCAAAGATATTCGACTGTTAGATTTAATATGTTTAACAGTGTTTATAATGACGTTAATAAAAAAAAAACTGCACTGTCTAATTATGGAACTGTTGTAAATATCGTGATTCCATAGCATTACGGTCACCCAGTCTCCTAACAAACAGTACACATAGGCCTACATGTACCTGTAGCCTTGGTCTACACACGTGCAATGGAGCTGTCACACGCATCCAGCGAGCTCGGAGAAACACGTTTTGTTTTGCCGAGAAGTTACGGTGTCAGACAAAACTTTTCTTTTCTTAATTAGATCATATAAATACGAATTCTGATTAATAAAAATTATACAATCCCTGTTGAACTTTATATAGTTTGTTCTAACATTTGCATCTGCAACAACTTGTGTTTAAAATGGCCGGGTTGGGAAAATCAGGACCGGGTCGGAAAATTCTAAACTGAAAACATGGAAAACCTTTTTTGTTTTGAAAATAACTGAAATATACTAATATATTTGTCGCAGAAATTACTTACATTATTCAAGTTCTATATATAATGGTATGCTGAACTTCAACACGAACCCGAATCTCCAACCCATGCAGTTCTCGTTTTGCCACACATACCCTACAGTTTACAAAGTGTACACACGAGCAGGCCAGGGATTGAAAATTCCATCATTTAATAATACACACACACAGCTGCTAGAATGATTAATTTTTTCTTTAAGAACAAATTGTATGATAATTAACGGACTATAAACATGTACTTAATACAATTGTTGATATAGTATTATCAATTCATTGGTGAAAAGATATGAATCGAAGAATGACCTAATTATTCTCTGTTATCAAACACGTAAAAAAAAAAGGCTGAGGAGGGAGCGAGCGTAGGAATATTGATATTTTTTATTTGCATTTCGGGGGGAAAGTGACTTTCTAATGATATTTTGACGTTATTTTTGATTTCTTTAACGTATGACATACACAACTTTACTCTTATCATGAACAATAATGTTGTATCTACTTATCATGATGGAATTATTTTGGTCGGACCAATATGTGTGAGCTGCCGCTGAATACAGTTATATATCTTGCAAAGATAGTATGCATTGATCGAATATATAGAAAAAAAAACAGTCGACAATTCAGTGTGTAATAATGGCCTAACAATTAATTAGCGTGAAAAACACTAGTCATGCAATTTGAACAAAATTTGTAATTTCTTGCACTTCTCCCATATTTCATCTAAAAGTGGACAAAACTCAGGATAGATATTAGCTTGGAAGAGGTCAAAAGTTTGTGACATAGCTGTGGTTTCACGTTTGTATTGAGAGTAGGTATACACATAAAAATTAAGATGAAATCATGCAGTTTCATATTGATCTTACAGAAGTGCATCCCAAAAATTTCATTTATTTTAGAAACTATTGAGTCTTGCTCAGATGTTGATGCAGAGTGTAGCTTTTGGAAACACAAAAAGGAAATATATTTTTAATATAAGTCAAATGAAATTGATTATTTTAATAATGGACAGTGTACTTCTTGATATAACATGGAAATGTTGTACTAATCTTACAAATGGTGTAAGGCAATTGTAAAATTCATGCCATTGGTCAAAAAGGTAAACTCTTTGCATATGACAATTGTCAATAAAGGTTGTAAGCAGTGTTAAATATTTGCTTTTAATATTCAGCATTTAGGGGATTTTCTTCATTAAGTTTTTATAAAGACTTTGAAAAACAATTACTTTTTCAAACATTTACGTACAAGAGAAAAAAAACAACAACAGCCATCCAGAAAGACAAGCAAGTCTATTGTGGTATAGGTAGAGCAGGTGTTTGAAAGTCATGAGCAGGACATAATCATGTAGTACTAAGTACAGCATTATGAGCTTATATTGAAAAATCAACAAGACTTGTGTAAGTCTACCTCTACAAGTCACATAGAAACTATATATAGATTCAACCTACCTTTGCAAGTGACTAGTGAAGCTAGGGTATCAAGTCAACATGTAATCAGACTGACTAATAAACAAGTCAACTTGTAACCAGACCGACTCCTAACCGAGTCAACTTGTAACCAGACTGACTCCTAACTGAGTCAACTTGTAACCAGACTGACTCATAACCAAATCAACTTGTAACCAGACTGACTTATAACCGAGTCAACTTGTAACCAAGACTGGTTTTGAACTGATCTGATAGGTTTTGGTAG